CTCTCTCCTTTTCCTTATTGCTTTTTATCGCCCGTCTATTTGCGTTTCCGCTTTGGTCGTTCTGGGCCGGGTGCTTTACAATTCCTCAATGGAGCAGCCGAGTCTTGAGCACGAATTCGGGCAGCCCGAGTCTTGAAGCTGTTGTTGTTGGCTGGCCGAGCTTGTTGGGGGCGTATTTGCCTAAGAAAAATAAATAAATATGAATTTATTGCAGCGCTCGTTCAATTTTTCGTCTTCGCTGGGGTTTAATTTCCTATGTGTGTGTGTGGGTGAGTGTGTGCGAGTGTGTGTGTCATTAAATCTAAAGCTAATGCTCGCTGCGATCATATAAACAAATATGCCCGAGCCAGCTCTGTGCTCCCCCATTTTTTATATGCCAAAGATAGGCGATACGCTGCGAGCCACAAAAACGAGAAAACAAGGAACAAAAATTGTCGCAGCCCCAAGACACAAGTCCCCACATAAGTATGTACTTGGTACATATGTATATACATATATACCATATATACATATTTGTAAGTGCTCTGAAAACTTTGATTTTTTCTGCTGCTCTGGCAATTTCTTTCAGCTCAGCAGCTTTCAGCTCTCACATAATTCATAATTGCCAGCTTTGCCTTTGCTTCCTCCAGAGATTCTACGAATTTTGTCACGCTTTGGATTTCAAAATTTGTCGATGTTAGGCAACAGCAGCACATACATACATACATACATACATATAATACAAAAGCATAAAAGTCTAGTATATGGTATATTTATGTATATAGAATCTTATGTATCTGAAATTCCTTGAGGCGTAAGTAAATGGCATTTAACGCTTGATTTGCAGCGTTTAATTTTACCTGCTAGGCAAAGGTACTTTAGTTTCGCCAGCCTCATGAAGAGCCCTGCTCAGAGCCTTGGCGATTCATTGTTCTCTCGCCCGCACAAAGATGTTCAAAAAAAATAATAATAAAGAACAGGGGAGAGTTCGGCGTTCAAGTAGTAGGGGCGGAAATTTAATATGAAATGTTTTTTTTTTTATATTATTTTCTTGTATGTTTTTGAAATATGAGACTTTTAGGTACTGATCTGTTTTTCTACCTGTTTTTATTTGAATTTTTTGGTAGCAATTATTTTGCAATTCGGTTCTTTTGGGCACTTGTGAAATTCTATACACAAAAAAAAAAGAGGATCGACAATATGGCTTTATCACAAACTGCTTGCAGGACGGGAAGGTGTCAACGTTTTGCTTTATGAATCAAACATTGCACTTGTCCCGGCCTATGAGCGGTTTGTGCCACAACAAACGATTGAAAATATGAAAAATATATGTATAACTAGACATCTCTCTTAAGCTTAAATATAAAAAAATAACCCAGTATGTTAAGTTATATTAATCGTAAGAAATATTTACAATATTTAAATCAAGCATTTTATGTTAAAAATTCAACAATCGAATTTCATTTTTTTGAATTTTTTCCATCGTTACAGCGTTTATAATTGACAACTTGGTACAGTTGCCTTTCAAGCATGGACAATCGGGTGAGTTTTTAATTGTGAACGTTGGATATTCCAACGTTAGCAACATTCAAAAATTTCATCGTTCAGTTAAAGAGATTGATAGAAATATATATTTGAGTATTTCATAAACTCATAGTTTTAAAATTAAGTTTTGTTTTTTGTTCATTTATTTGCGAGCGATCACTGTAATCAGTCAAAATTTGTATATATATATTTATTGGCTCTATCGATTTCAAGGGTTTAAAATAATATATGAACTCTTAAAAAAATGTTATAGATAGTATTTAAATATTCGTAAGCATTGAAAAAGTAGTGCATATAGTTTGCATAAAGTAAATTTAAGCCCAGTGTCAAATATATTTATTTAAAACATCAATTCGAGGTCAAGTTGCCAATGTGTACAACAAATTTAAAAATAGCGCGCTATCGATCAGCTGCTGTTAGTATTTATTTTTGGTATTTTTGCGCTATTTGTTTTATGCCACGCGTTTGGTGCATTTTGTGATGATATCGGCGTCAGCGGCGGCGTCGTTGCTAGTGGAAGAGTAAAAAAAAAACAACAAGCCGAGCAATTGCTTGCCCGCCTGTTGTGTGTGCCTTCGTTATTTTTATTATTGTTGGTGTTGTTGCTGTGTGTTAAATATAAAAACAAATCGAATTAAAAGTAAAATATATATTTCGCGTGCAAATCGAAAGTAAGTTATGCGCGAGCGAGACAAACGAAAAACGAATTGTAAACATATTTAATGTACATATACATACAAACATAATGTGATGTACCCCGCGCAGCGCCTAAATATTTTTTATTTATAAATTTTTTTTTCATTTTTTTTTTTTTACTTTGCCTATGCTTGCGCTGTTTTTGTTTTTGCTGGCGCGTCGTAGCAGGCAGCGTATAAACCATTTCGAGTAAATATTCCAACAATTTACTGTTTATATTTTTTTTTAAATTTATACAAATAAAATTAAATATGAATACGAATTTAATCGAATTCAAAACCATAATACAGCCCGAACTGAGCATTCTGAAAATGGAACGTGCCTCGTCGCCGCTGCTGCAGGCGAACCTCTCGCTGCCCGTACACCAGCCGAAGGGGCGGGGTCGTCCGCGCGCCTCTTACGCCCAAACCGGTGAATTCGATTTGGGTCTAATACGTGAATTTCGCTCTCGGCCAGCGCTGTATGATCGGTCGAATAAGCGCTTTAAGGATAAAATTCATGTTGCCCAGCTCTGGATGCAAATCTCACACAAGTTGGGCTATGACGGTAAGTGTGTATACAATAATAATAGTTATATGCCTGGAATAGTTTACTAATTATTGTACCTATCTTATTTCTAATGGCCGCTCCGCACAGTTTCAATATTGCGTGAACGCATGATCACGCTGCGTAATCGCTATAATATCGAAAAGCGTCGCGTGGAAAACAATTCGCTGTCGATATCGGGCAGCCAGTGGCCATTGTTCGAGAATCTTAGTTTTCTCTCGGAGCATATACGCAGCAGACGTTCATACAAGACGCAGAGTAAATCTCTGGACGAAGAGGATGACGAGGAGGCATTCGATGTGGATGACGGGAATAGCGAAAGCAATGGACCAGCCAAGGGTATTAAGCACGAACTGGAACCAGATTATGAGGATGGCGAGGATTTTGACTGTGATGGCGGGCCGCTGCCCGTGACCACAATGCTCAGGTGAGTGCAGTTCATAGCTATGAGTATAAAGCTAATATACAACTCTATTGCAGCATACCACACAGCACGCCCACGAATGGCAGCAATACGATAAGCGCCAGCAGCAACAACATCAACAACATCAACAACGTCAACAACAACAACAACAACAGCAGCAATAACAATATCAATAACAATAACAATAACAACATGCTCAATGGAAAAGCAGCGCTTCCAATGGCCAACTGTCGACAGCCGGAGCTGCTGCTACGCGTGGCCAAACCGAAACGTGCACCGCAGGCACACGAAGAGGAGCCGCCGGCTGCCAAGCGACGTGGAGATGGCCATTCTGCATCAGCACCGGCGACATCAGCAGCAACAACAAACACGACAATAACAGCAATAACCACATATCCAAAGTTTCGCGCCTTTGGCGAATTTGTATCGCATTCGCTGAACGAACTGCCACATGCGATATCCATGCGCCTGCTCGAGAAGTTTACGCGCGAACTGGTCCAAGCGACCATCGCGAATGAGCATAGTCAAACGCAGAAACGCGAATCGATGGAGCCAAGCAGCATGGATGAAATGGATGATTAAATGAATGCGTTAGGCAATTAAGATCAAACCAAACAAAACTACAAACTATAATTTAAACTGATTTTTTACCTAGGCGCTTTTCAGCGTCTGATTTTAGTACATTTGTATCCATATTGTATATGCCACATTGAATAAAAAAAAACCAAGGATTAACATTTTCTTTGGGGCGTGTTAACAATTAGGTGTCTATGACATTTGTTAAGTCCCAAAGCGCGACGCAGGCAATTGCAACTGCAACATGCGGCAAGTGTCTGTGCCACAGGCACATTTTCTGCATTTAATTATTAATGCCTCTATATTTTAATTAAATTATAGCTACGCAATGGGCTGTTGTAATCACAGTGTTTAAGCCAAGCTAGAAAAGCCGACGACTCGCTTGGCTTATTGATATTGTTAGAGGCATTTGTGTACGTGTGTGCTAAGTGGTGTGCAACATTAAAACGTCACCTGATGTAGGTCGTGCCTGGTGCTTATTTGTTGTTATGCGAAAATCCAAATTGCACTAGTCCCGGCCTGCAGTGAGTGTCGCAGCCAACGTTCCTTGTTTATCACCGGTCGGTCAGCCAAAATGTGGTGGCATGCCTCCGTCACTGTGTGGCAGAACAGTCGCTTCTCTGCCTGCTGTGAAGCCCTGTAATTATATAATTTAATCAAATTACTTGCATATGTTGCCAAAAAAAAAAAAAAAAACCAACAGCGAAAAAAGAAATGAGAGAAGAGTAAAAACGAGCATCGACCGCAACGTTAAGTGCCGCATTTTGACAGTGAAATGTGATTATGTGTGTGCCGTGTGCGTGGCCAAAAGAAAGATATTTGCGTATTTTGGCGTTCATCATCATTATTCTTCAAACTGCGCTCGGCAGCTTAAACATTTTTGTACGCACACTTAAACTTGACAGCGGTTTGACAGTTGCAAATTACGCCAACTGCAGCAACGGTCGCAGCAGCAGAGGTGAGTGTTATATTTGGCAGCTTTTGTATTTGAACCCAGCCAGTTTGCAGACAACTTCACGTCTTGACCTGCCAGCTGTTAGCAGCCAACTTCAAGTGCTAGAGTAGTCTGGAGCTCACTGCTATGCACACTACGCGCGCTTTTGAAATTGAATCTATTTATTGAAATACTGTTAATTTATTTTTATGTATGTATATATTTATGTATATTTAAATTTAATTGGAGTTTGAATTGTTGTCATTTGTTAAATTAATTAGCTAAATTTAAACACTTAAGTAAACGCGCGTGCATATTGCATACTCATACTTATGTATTCTTTTCAATTCTCGTTTTTTTTTCGTATAATCGTATTGTTTTTTTAATATTAATTACTCGTAAGTTCGAATTAAAATCACTCAAAAAATGTGCTGCTCTTTTAGTTTTTGTTTTTCTTTTTTTTTGATTTGACAATCAGATTTGTAAAGTAGCTAGAATATACGACGAGACACAGTACACGACATTTATAGCTAATAATAATTTGTAATAAAAGTCTAAGGAGCTGAAATTTTAGGATTAGACCAACAAATACAACGGCGAGAAAGAGATCAAAATGCATAACGATTTCAGGCAGCGGCCACCGTCACAACTCATACGTAATATTATTCATATGATCGCGTGTCTTCCGAGCTTTAAACGGCGCTGCGAAATGCTCATAATCATAGGCGATGTCCGCATTGTAGGAGGAGCAGCGACGTAAACGATGATGCACAAATGAGCTGCTGTAGGGGGCCTGATTACCATGCCCGGCGCCAAAGCAACGCATTGCAGCGCACAGCAACGTGCACCAGCGCCAGGAGGAGAAGGCATAAAATTGATGTGCACCAGCACCGCTGCCGCCTCCATTATTGTGGCCCTTTTTGGCCAGCAAATGCTGGCGACTGTGATGCAAATAGGGATTGTAATTGGAGCGAAAGCTGCTGTCGCTGCTGTGTCCGCTGTCGTCGCTGCTGCTGTCACTACGCCGCAGACCCAAACGGAACAGATTGCCATTGTTGTGCGCCGCATTGGCAAAGTCCTCGAAATCCAAATGCGATTCATAATCATCTTGCGATTCATATGCATCACGATCAATGGAAACGGCGGGCGTGATGATCATAAATTGACTGTATTTGCGGCTGTGGCTCGGCGCCGAACGATTCTGCTGGCTGTGGTTGCTGCCTCCACGCTGATTAACCATCGAGTTGAGTAGCGTTTGATTTGTATCCACCGAAGAGTAGCTATTGCTATTCGAAATGGGTGACATATCATTGTTGTTGTTATTTGTGTTGCTGTTGTTGCTGCCGTTGTTGTTGTTGTTGTTGTTATTGTTAATATTGCTATAGGTATGGTGCATGTTGTTATTGTGCGTGCTAAAAACACCAGCCGGTGCTGGTTGCGTAGTGGTCACCAGCGGCTGCTGCGGCTGATAATGCTGATACTGCAGCTGCAACGGCGAAGGCAAATGCGGCACTGATTGCTGTTGATATTTCTGGGCGTGCTTATGACGCCGCTTGGCAACTGGAGCTGTAACTGTAACTGTCGCGGTGGCCGTGGCCGGCCCTGTGAATTTGGCTGTGACTGTGGCGAACACTTTAACTGGCGCTGAGGTCTGTAGTTGTTGCTGTTGCGGTGCCGGCGATGTTGTTGTGGGCGTCGAGCCGACCGAGGGCATCCATCAGCTTGTTTCCTCCGAGCCGTTATTGCAATCATCGGGCTTGACAATTTGATAGGTTATCAAGTACTCTGGATAAGACTGCAAATGCTGTTTGTTAGTGGAGCTGCTTGCTAAGCACATTTCGATATAGATTACCTGTTCACCTCGATAGACAACATATTCAGCAAAGTGCAGGCCACCCGCCGAGGGACGACCAATCACCGAATGGTGCCCGGGCGGCGCATGTGCCATCTTCATGGCGCTGTACTGCAAAAATGATTTGCCCAGGGCAACGCGGCACAGCAGCAGTTGCCTGTAAGAGAGAAAACTATTAGTAACAGCAGCTCCCAGATTGGCGATGATAAAACCCTACCTGGGACACACATAGCAGGATTTGTCCTTGTGCGATGGACAGCCTATGCCGCCGCCTATGCCATATACATACTGATTGCTCTTCGAGCTGTGTTCGGCAAAATAAATGCCAGCACCGAACATACCGCCTATGTAGGCGTGTCGCTCATCAAAGCCACGCTGCACAATGGCATTGATAAAGGGGCTGCCATGGAAGAGCATGCGCTCGTTCGACTGCAAAAAGTTCTCCTCTGCAATCTCTTGGCGTCGATGCGCATAACGCTCCCACAATTTACGATTCTGCACCTTTTGTACCTGCAATAAAGTTGAATTATGTAAGTCGGAGTGCTGAAGCGAATTGGCTTAGTCAATCGTACCCTAACAATGTTGTAGCGTGTAAAATAACCGCCCGCTTGTCCATTATCACGATGCTCCCGTATGGTAGCCTGCATCTCCTCCTCAACAGCGACAAACTCCTTGTCATCCGTCAGCAGGTCCACCAGCAGCGTGCACAGATTCACATTGTTGCCAATGCCTGGCGAGAATAGTGAAATAAATCAAAGAATTTTATTTGAGCATGCGGTACTCACCTGTCGTGGCTCGCAGCTGCGCAATACCCTTGAGTATCTTGTGTCGAAACCCGTAGGCAGACACGCCCACCTGCTTGAGATCATCATGACCCATCTCGGCCAATATGTCCAGAGTGATTTGCTCGCGTTCGAACAGTTCGATTAAATGATGCAATTGCTGGCTGCTCAAGAAACCGGATACATTTGTTATCGACTCCGGATCGGGCAGCAGCTCCTCGCTGCCCGTATTCTCGGCACCATGTGCCTCGGCGCCCTGGGCAGGACTAAGGCGTGTGGCGCAACTGTGCAGAGGCAACGGCACCGGCACGCTGAGCGTCATGGAAGCGCCCGAGGGCAGCAAAACTGTCTCCGTGGTGGGTGAGAGCAGTGTTGCCGCCGCGGACGCAGATGCAGATGCTGCCGTAGCAGCTGTCGCTGCATTAGCGGCTGCTGCAGCATCCGGCGCCGACGAGCTGGGGGCCAACGATTGCGTGGAGGCGCTGAGTGCATGCTGGCTAAGCGACGTGGCCATGGCGTCTTGTAGCAGGCACTTGACATCATCTGCTGTGGCCAGCTCTATGGGGGTTTGTCCCTCTTGGTTTTTCATGTAGGCATCGGCACCATGGGCCAGTAGCAAGGAGCACAGCTGCGTGCGACCCTTTTGCGCAGCCTCATGCAGCGGCGTGAAGCCCCATTTGTCCGTGGCATTGACCACCGTCTTGTGCTTGATCAGTAGCGCGGCGATATCCAAATGCCCATAGGAGCTGGCATTGTGTAGCGGTATGAGTCCGCCCTTGTCCTGGGCATTAACATCGGCGCCATGCTCCAGCAGATACTCGGCACACTCGAAATTATTATAGCCCGCGGCTAGATGCAGCGGCGTGGAGTTGCGTCCATTCAAATCCCGGCAGTTGATCGTCTCCGGCGTGACCAGACGCTGGACGCGCGCCAGATTGCCCTTTTTGGCCGCATCCAGCAGCGCGGAGGGACCACGCAACAGCTCAGCGACATCATGATCCGAATCCTTGACGAGATCAGCAGGCGTGGCGCCATCACGATTCTTTTTCATGGGATCAGCGCCATGTTTGAGGAGCAGCTTGCATATATCGTACTTGCCCTTGGCAGCGGCCTCGTGAAGCGGCGTAAATTTCCACAAATCGGAGACATTCACATTGGCGCCATGCTTGACGAGCAGCTCGGTGACCTCGTAATGGCCATACGAGCAGGCATTGTGCAGCGGCACCAGGCCACCTTTGTCGGCAGCATACACCTCGGCGCCGTGTTCCAGCAGAAATTGCACGACGGGCACACGATTGAAGCCGGCGGCAAAGTGCAGCGGCGTCGAGTGACGTCCATCAAGATCCCTGCAGTTGACCGTATGCGGATTGTTAAGCACAATGCGACGCACTGCATCCAAATCGCCAGCCTTGGCCGCCTCCAGCAGATGTGTCTCGCTGTCCGGCGGATTCTTGAGCAGCTTCAGCACGCTATCCGAGGCCAGCTGTGCGGCTGTCAGACCCTCCAGCGACACAATGCTGCTGTCCACCGCATAGGAGAGCAGCAGACGCACCGCCTGTTCATCGCGTGCGCAACGATGCAGCGCCGTCTGGCCCAGGCTGTCCAAGGCGTTCACCTTGGCACCCTGCTTGAGCAGCGCCTCCATGGCATCGTAGTGCATCAGCTCGGCGGCCAGATGCAGCGGTGTAAGGAATGCCTTGTTCTTCTCATTGAGCAGCGCTCCCTTGCGTGTCAGCAGCTCCACCAGTTGCTTGCGTTTCGCATCCTGACAGACCACAGCCAGATGGAGTGGTGTATCCCCCGTGTATGGATGCACAAAGTTTACGATTTCGGCACAAACGAGTTTCTTGACACGCGACAAATCGCATTTGCGGCAAGCGTCCATTAGGCAGTGTCCCTTGTACTCAACTGGAATAGGACAATCATAAAGAATAAGTTAGGATATTTTTAAATTGGCTAAGAAAACTACTTAAAATAGCTACTAATTAGGATAAAAAATAGAGACTTTTCAAAATTGAAGAAAAATCCAACCATAAAAGAAAATAAAGTTTAAGTTTATAGCCAAAAGAAATTGGCAAATATTCAGCTCAAAATAATTTTTGGCTCTGGTCCAAATAAAAGTTGAGTTAAAATATATAAAGATATTTCACATTCATAACTATATAATTTATTTTTGATATTAAACCAAATCAGTTACCGAAATAAAAACATTACTTTTGTATGCTTCAAAGTAATAAAGATTCCGAAGGGGCTCCAAGGCATATTTAATTTGAGCACAAACTGATTTATCCAATAACATTATCAGATTAAAAAAATAAGTAAAGAATATCATTTAAAAAACAACAGGTTTTAGTCGGGAGCTCCCGACTAGGGGATACCCTGAACTCTATTCTTTCAACATCAAATGCATATATATATTCTATTTTAGAAGCTATATGTCAAGTTTGGTGACTGTAGCTTTTATTATTTACCAAAATTGCCCAAAAAACAGGATATTGATATCGATTTTTATCGACTGCTTGGAAACGGAGTGAGTTATCGATTATCGGAAACAAACTCGATCTGCGCAGGCACTAGGAGCACCTACATCGAAAATTCTAAAAAAATCTCTAGCTCTTATAGGTTCTGAGATCCTTGCGTTCATACATACGGTCGGACGGACAGACAGACGGACATGGCTAGATCGACTCGGCTATTGATGCTGATCAAGAATATATATAATTTATGGGGTTGGAGATACTTCCTTCTGCCTGTTATATACATTTGGAATTTGCACAAATACAATATACCCTTATACCCATTTTTAATGGGTTCAGAGTATAATTAATGAAAGATTGTAGAACGGATAGTTATTATAGAGTGAATTTTGTTTTTATCAAATCAAGTAATTTATTTGTAATTGAAAAATTCAATTTGAACAGGTTTCTTTTAGCTGTTGGCTTAAATCAGACGACTCGTAAATTAAATCTAATCGGCAGGTGATAATTATACTTTTTAAAATATTAATAACTTAAGTCACATGCCATACACATGCTTAAACGATCTTGAATCTAGCTTAATTCTGGAAAGCGACGTAAATCTTATGGAAACACTTACAGGCAATGCGTTCCCGCAGCTCCCGCGTTGGGGCCGCATCGATGGCCGACTTGTTGTGGCAGTTGAGGAGCGTAGGATCTGCGCCGCGACTGAGCAGCAGGCTGCAGACCTCCACACGGCTCTTGGAGGCGGCCTCGTGCAGCGGCGTAAAGGCCCACAGATCGTTGGCATTGACATTGGCGCCAGCCTGGATAAGCAGCTTGGTGACATCAAAATGGCCATAGGAGCAGGCATTGTGCAGCGGCACCAGGCCGCCCTTATCCTTGGCATGGACATCGGCGCCATTCGCCAGGAGTATTTCGACAATGCCTATGCGATTGTAGCCCGCGGCCAGATGCAGCGGAGTCGAGCGGCGTCCATCGCTAGCATGACAATTGACATTGAGGGGTGTGAGCAGCGCCAGGAGACGATCCTCGGCGCCGGAGCGTGCCGCCTCGAGCAGCTCATCCTTGCGATATTCGCCGGTCAAGACCGGACGTGTCGCATCATCGGCCAGCTCGAGCGGTGTCTTCTGCTCCGAATTGCGTATGGTATGATTTGCGCCATGCTGCAACAGTGCCAGGCACACATCAACCTTGCCCTTGCTGGCCGCCTCGTGCAGCGGCGTATAGTTCCAGTTGTCGGTGGTATTCGGGCTGGCGCCGGCCTTCAGCAACAGACGCACCACCTCCGCATGGCCAAAGGAGCAGCAATTGTGCAGCGGATGCAGTCCGCCCTCATCGCAGGCCTGTATCGAGGCGCCGCTGTTCAGCAGAAACTCAACCACCTCACGTCGGCCATAACCTGGAAAAGCAAAGCGCATCATATTAGATCCAATGCTAAACATGACCTAGCAGCAAGCCCTAAAAGTGGCTCACATGGTTAACTAACTGTTATTTGCGTTGTCTTTGCATTCGCTGGGCGTTGACAGCGGAGGGCGGGTTCTTTGAGAGACCTTCGGTTCTAACAGATTTCCGGCAGTTGCCCCCCCCGCCTCAAGCACTTGCATAGTGGGCTCTAGAAGCCGTCAACCTTGTGGCCATCATAAATCTTAGTCTAGGTTATTGTTGAGACAACAAAGCAGCAAATAGAAAAGCTGATAAAAAAAATAACAAAAAGAGTATCCAAGGCAGAGGTAAAGAAAGCTGTCAACACATAAAACCCACTCGGGGCATAACTTCAAACACTTCCTATTTAAACTGGGCTAATAACTCATCAGTTCCTGACCGACTGGGAAAGTTCAAGGGTTAGCTAAATAAGCTACCAGTAAAGCTGAGTGAGCTCTAGATATAGATATTATTGGCAAATTGTTTGCTTTAATATAAAAATAAAATTAATATAGCTTCTATATTGATTGGAGTATTAAAATAAATAAAATTTCTATTCTGTTTCAATTTTCTAATCATCCAAAAATTGTGAACTTTTGATTAAATTATTATTTTTTATTTTTGTGAACCTTATTTTTTAATCCATTAACCTATAAAATGCCCAATCATTAGTCATCAATCAGACTTAGAATTTTCCCAGATTGAAAAAACCAAGTAAGTTATGCAGATAAGATTTTGAAGAAATTGTTTTCATTTGTATGTTTAATTTTCTTTATCTTTAAATACAACAATATTTATTTTCATTTAACTGATTAACGCGTTGACTGATGCTTGATTTTGTGATGTAATCAAATCTAAGACGGTGTTTCCGATTGAAAAACTTTTGTGCAGTTGAAATTTGATAGTTTAATGCAAACATTAGGGGCATTCACTGTGACAATAGCATTAGGGTGCCATATTACAAGCAAAATACAGTGATAAATGCAATTTTCAAGCCAGCAAATAATTAATCTTATAAACTATTGTGTTGACAAGCCGAAGCACATTACGAACAGGAATTTGAAATATAACAAATTAATCATTTCTAAAAACAAAGTAATATAAAAACAAGCCCACATGAAAGTAACTAATGCATAAAAATCTATAACAATTTTTAATTAGAAGAGCATTTAATGATTTTAACGTGTTTTATTTGCAAAGTCTTTCCTGAAGTCTTTGCGAAACTTTTCGTTAGCCGCATTCACTTCACTATTTTTTCGCAAAACAATTACGAAAGTTGCATGGAAAATTAATAGAATGGAAAATATTATTAGCTGTGAGTGGTGTGTTGAGCAATTGAATGTGCAACGGTTGGAATTAATATTATTATTATTTTTATTGTGGTTTCTTTGCATTGTTATAATCATAAACGAAGCGCCTTGAGCGAGCGCATTAAGCCAAAAGCGTTAAGAATAATAAAACAATAAAGTTGAAGGTTAATTAGTTAAACAATTGTTAATTTGACTGACTAAGAAAAATGAAATATGTTATATATCTCAAATGCTTATAGCCAAAGCTGTTAGGTCTAGCCAAAGACTTTTGCGACTTTATCAGCGGATACGTGTCAGCCACAATTATCGAGTTTCTTATCGTCTTTATAAACAAGAAAGCTGTGCAAACAAAAAATGATAACAATGAATCGGATATAAATAAATGAATGTACGCTTATGTGAAATTCTTTGAGAGGGGTGTGCGTTGATATTTTATAAAAACGTGTTACAATTTGCAACAGATGCGGCTCGAGGGGTGCAAAGGGAGTGGGCGGGGCGGGACAACATTTGCTAGTACGTTTAGACTTTAAACAAGGTGAAAACTCTGTCAATAGCAACTGGAGACCTCTTGGAGATCTCACTTTTTTTCTTCGGTCTTCAGAACGTGACAAAAGACATGACAACAACAGCAACAGCAAAATTGGATGGCAAACCAGTTTGGAGAGACAGTCAAAACAGTAAACAGCTAAAAGTAAAATACAAACAACACACAAAAAATGGGGGGAAACAAGCTAAGCATGAATCATAGACAGCTACCACAGAAAAGTATTTAATTAATTTTGTAACGAAGTTAAAATGCACTTGCACAAGCAGGGCAAATACAGATGTTCAATATATAATATATAGTAATGTATTCAGATGCACAGTGAAAACCTTTAATACGCTTTTTGTCACATTTAATTATGCCCAAACCTTATATAAATAATACATACTATGTTCAAATTCAGTAGCAATTCAATTCAATCGCTATTTTCGTGTATTTTTTTAATTCTATTTCCTATTAGTTATATCTAACATCAACTAAATAACATTAGAAAAATGTATGGCTGCTCGAAATAAGACCTTCATTCCTTAAATATCTTATATATCTAATTTCATAAAAGGCTCCTTCATTTTAGACGAAAAATATTATTATAAAAGTACAAAAATTAACGTATTTAAAATAAGTAAAATTCAATTTATTTTGTAGCTTTGGAAATTCTATCTTCAATGCGTTAGAAACCTCGCACCCAAATTACAATACATATGGAAAGGGTATAAAAAAAAAGGCACAGCAAAAATTGATATGCAAAGGGCGTGAAACTCACAAGTACCCCTTTCCTCATCCCCAAAACCCCCTCTTAACCAGACAAAAGGTATTTTTTTTTTTAATTAGTTAAGGAGTTGGGGGCGAGCTGCGTGCGTTTGGGCGTGACAGCCGAGCGCGCCTTTGCGAAGCAACAGAGCAACAGAGCAAAAAGTGAAATTTGTTATTCAAGCTGATACGATTTGAGCCCTGAGTTACAAATAGACATCTAGACGCTGGATGGCGTGTAGACAAGGCCAATAGAAAAGATGCAAACGACGTCAGCAGGATGCTGACCAGGCCGAACATATACATATATACATACATATATGTATATACATACATATATTTTTCTCTCTGGCGAAAATAGAAAACATGTTGGGCCAAATGCAACACATAGTCGTTGCAGGGTCGCCGAGGGTTCCGGAATCGAAACCAAACCAAGCAGAAAAGTAGGTCAACTCTGCGAGCCGACTGTGCCGGGGGGTGCGGTCGGCGGGCGGCAAACCAACTCGTGGCGACCGTCGACTTCTAGGCAGGCAACAATGACGCTCGTCATAGCGACCAAAACTAGATCAAGGCCAGAAACGCAGCAGTGCCGAGTGCATGTGTGTGCGTGTAAATAGGGGTAGGGGGCGGGGGGTGTGTTAAGTAGCTGAAAAAAAGCTATTTCTAGTAGGAAGGGGATTAAAAAGCTAAGCTGCTGTCGTCGCATTTCGTTACAAAATTGGAATTCCCTTTGGAGGGGTATATATGCGAAAAAAGGCTAGAATACTCGCTGCATTTGACGGGAAAAGGGCGCAACTGGCAGCACTGGTTAGGGGCTGCTAACCACCGAGTCCTTCAACCTAAATAGGCGACAAGAGACGGCGGCAGAAACAGGGTGCGCGCTGCTGGGGCCCAAAGGATTCCGTTACTCACCCGCTGCAAAATGCAATGGCGTCGATTTGCGTCCCGCTGTGTCGCGCGCATTAACCGTTTGTGGCGTTATCAGCTTCTTCACTTTGGCTATTTCACCTGTTTTGCAGGCCTCAAAAAGCTCACGCAATGGATCGTTGGCCATGACCGTATCGAGATTAACATTTAATATAGCCCGACTGCGACTTGCCATTGTGCTGGTTGTTGTTGTTGTTACTGCTGCTGCTGTTGCTCTTGTTGTTTTTGATGTTGTTGCCTCGCCTCGCGCTGCTCCACTTCTGATTTTTGTTTTGTTTACACGCAGCGTAACTGAGCAGCAGCTGGCCGTCGCGCCCGAAAATATAACGCGTTATATTCAATATATACACGGCTGCACCGAAAACAGATGCTATATCTGGTTGGCCTAACTTGAGTTCATGTTTATGCAGCTGTGAAACATTCACTGGCCATTTTTTGCTGCTGCTCCACACTCACTCACACAGTCACAGACACGCACACTATTAACTGGCGATGAGGAAACTCTTGGCCCTGTGGGGAGCAACAATTGTTGGCGTTGGCCCCGCGGGCAGCACTGCGTTTGGCACTATTTTTTTTTTATTTGTTAATAGCACAAGTGGTATGCACTATAATCAATATAAACTGTGCCCCTTTTCTTTTGTAAGTGCTGCGCTGCTGCTGCGCTAGTTGCAATTGTTTTCGTTCAGCTTGCGAAGAGGATTGTTGATATTCTATCGATAGACAGCACGCAATTTACTTATAATCGATAAGTGAATTGGTAATTATAAATGGTGTGCACACACTGGTTATGCTGCGTAATCGTTCTGGCAAAAATGTTATCGATTACCTATTAGTTAGTTATTTGATTTTGTTTCGATTTTAACAATGATTTTCAGGCTAGTATTTATTGATCTTATTAACAGAGCTTATGAACTTCGTTTAACAAAAATGATTAATATTAAATTTAATTGCGCGCCGAACTGCAGAAAACGATAACAACATATATGTATCCAGCCCTGTTATAAACCATGTTTTTTTTCTTAGTGCAGCCCTGTCACGGGCATCGAGTACAAGTGCATGCCAACAACAATGCGCGCATTGTGCATTTGGTTTTCGCTTTAAAAAACTTTTAAATTATACAATTCGCACACGCACAGCATAAGAAAAATGTCCGAAAAGTGTGTGTGGTCATATAAACAATAATATGCGCAAGGAAACAGCAGTATTAATAGGCATAAAACAAACAAAAAGTGAATCAGAACACACGCACGCACACACGCAAAGCCCATACTGGCACACACGTACATACACCTGCAACCCGCGGCACCCGCGCTCTCTGAAACCAGAAATAAGTGCAAGTGAAGCAGCAGCAACAGCAGCGACGACTACAAACAAACACACAGCAGAAGCAATTGGGGAAAAATAGCTGCAACAGAGCAGAAAGAAAGGGAACAAACGCGACAACTAGAAGCAAAAGTGGAAGTGCAGCTCCACCCCCAATTTGGTGTTGCAGTGCCAGCAGCAGCAGCAGCGACAACAATAACAGTCGCAGCTAAGCCATGGCGCAGCGTTAGCAACAAAAAACAACAACAATAACGGGGCGCACGCTTCGCTGCCCTCGCGACAGCATTTCAAGCTTCGTCGACGCTGTGCTGCATTTGGAAATAATTAGACTTCACTTTAGTAGCAATTTTCTGACAGCAGCAGAAGCAACAATAACAACGACAAGCGAATCGATAACATAAAATAATTAATTCATACATTTTGGGTGTCCAAAATGGAACTAAAAGTGTGGGTTGAGGGCATACAGCGTATTGTGTGCGGCGTAACGGTAAATACCACTTGCCAGGTGCGTAATAACAATGATATTGATTTTAATACCCTCACTAAAGAGTCAAATTATTTAGTCTTGAAATGTGCACAGATCGTAAATATTCGTGATAAATGTTAACAACAAAGTTAATAGAGTCTTCTTAGAAAGGGTATTCAAATTTAGGGCAACCCGAAAATAATTTCTAGCTTTATGTGTCGCTCGCAACCCTTGTGTAATATCTATTCTTTCTTGCAGGATGTGGTGTTTGCCTTGGCCCATGCCACGGGCAAAGTGGGTCGATTTACGCTAATCGAACGCTGGCGCAATAATGAACGACATCTCGCGCCCAATGAAAATCCCATGAAGCTGCTGCTCAAATGGGGCGAGTATGCAAATGATGTGCAGTTTATATTGCAGCGATCCGAGAACAAGCAGCAGCCCACACAACAACAACAACAACAGCAGCAGCAACAGCAACAGCAGCAACTGCCCAACAACAACTATGCAGTCATGATTACTAAAAAGCCGCTTGGCCCCAGCAACAGCAACAACAACAATAATAATAATGAGAGCAAATTGCCGCCGCCGCCCACATTGCAAAAGCAAAAGTCCAGCGTGGAGCTGGGCTATCGCACAAAAGAGCTGAAAAAAAGTTTTGGGTGCGTAGCAACCAAAGGTCGATGCGAGTGTAACAAAAGTGAAACTAAGGACTATTTCAAAATTGTTTAAAAATAAGTAGCACATCTGTGAACATAATAAGTATATATTTAACTGATCAGTCTTTACAGTCCCATGAACAATCTAAACAAACTAGTCGTTCAGTTTTCAAACTTGTTGAAACCTTTCACAGCTCCCAATTTCTGCTACAGCCAGTATATCCGAATCGTGCTAACAAATCACGTAGGAGCAAAAAGAACTAGATATACTTTTTCTATAACCCACCCTTTGGCTCTTTATGCTACAGGATTTTTATCAGATACAGGATTTTAATGCTTCTTAACTAAAACTTTACGAAAATAGCCTTTGTACTGAAAAGCGACTCAGCAAATATGTGTTTATAGCCAGTTAAACTTTGTTACGCTCATGTATCGCAAACTAGTTTTTAATAGCTCTCAACTTTAATAATAAAACGTATCTAATTTTTACAGCGGTTATGATGCCAAACAATTCGACAACATTGGCATAGTTAAAGGCATACCACAGCAGCAGCAGCAGCAGCAGCAACAACAACAGCAACATACGCAGCAACAGTTGCCGCCGTCGAGCAAAACGGCCCCGTTGCTGCCCAAGCATGAGAAATCGCTCTCGAATCCGTTGGATATGAGTAGCAGTAGCAGCAGCAATGCGCCCGCACTAAATGATTACAGCGATTTATACAACAACAACCACAGCAGCAGCAATGGCAACAGCAACAACAATCCACACATTTACAGTCAGCTGAGTAAATCCAGCAATGAGCTGCGACGCGCTAGTCCGAATGAATATAACAACAACAACAACAATAGCAATAGCAATAGCAGCAATGAGCACTTATGCGACATCTATGCCAATAGCAACATTAGCAACAATAACAATAACAATAACAACAACCACTCACCGGAGCTGTACAAACAGACTCCCACAATTTCATCAAATGGCGCACTGGTGCCGCCACCATATCGTGATCCGCCGCCACCACGCAATAGTCCCATGTGCCAGACTCAACGCTTGCCGGCCAGCAGCAGCGCTGCTGAGACCATATCCAACGCATCCTCCACAACAAATCCATTTCTCAGTGACTACGAGCCACACAACATAAGCAACAACAACAACAATAACAATCATCTTAGCAATCAGTGCATGGATGAGGGCGAGAGCATGTTCCAGGCCACGCAATATAATGATCTACTGCAATTAATCAAGTTTCAACGCGAAAAAATTACGGCACAGCAATTGGAGCTGCAAAAGGTTAGAAACAAACAACTAAAACTTAAAAACAAATCAATTAATCAGAATTATACTTGCAGTTTGATACAGAAATTGGGTTTTTGGAGAGCAGAGAACGTGATCATGCGATTGAATTGGAGGTCATATCACGTGAGATATCCAAGGCGGATCAAATTTTTAGGCAAGGTAGCGAACAGCTGCAAACGCTGCAGTATGTAGAGGAGGAGAACGAACTGGTCAAGCAGCAGGAGAAGACACTCAAATCCGAAATTGCTTTGCTACGCTCCAAGCTGGCTAATTGTGAGACAGAGCTTCTACAGTGCAAGAATAAAATGCGTTTGCTCATGGATGACATTGAGCTGGAGCAGCAGCAGCAGAGCAATAGGTGAGCTGGCGAGTTAAATATATATTAAATCAAGCCTTAATAACTAATTCATTATACAGACAAACTGTGGAGCGTGATTTTCTGATTGAAATGGAGCGCATACAAAGCGACATAGATCTGGCGCTGCATAATACAGACACATCTAACAAAACGGCTGACAATCTCAAAAAGGAGCTGCTTATGATTGAACATGCTATTGCAGAGAAAAAGCGTCAAGTGGAACAATTGGTCAACGAAATGAAGGAAGTGAATCTGCAAAGCCTTACCGTAACTACCACCGAGGAAATCAAGCATCTGCTCGAGGGACCCAACAAGCAGGGCAGCAGCCGCCGCATTATAGGTTCACCACGACAATTGGAGACGGCCGTGCCCACCAGCAAGAATCCTCACGGCGTTTGGGTCTAAAACCGCGCCTCATTTAAAAGCAACGAAATATTTTTCTATACTCAAGTAACTTGGGGAACAAAAGATGAGGAAATGATTTACATATCTTGAATACGTAGAGCGCCAATCTCTATATCACAATATTTGCAAAGACACAAATTTACAACGATATAATCAATGCATATTTCTTCTTCAGATAAACAAAAAACCTAATGGATCTCTTCAAGCAATGTTAATTGTTACAAATTTTAGACACAACCCACACAATATTAACTTATTAGTGCACAACATTTTTTCATAGATTTTAATAATGTTCATTAACTAGTTGCAAATTTTTTAAGAAATTTCTCAAAAACAATAACATTCCCACAAATATGTTTATAATTTGTATGTACTTAAATCTTTTGTGCTATAACTATTGATTTTTAACTTAAACTTTTAAATATGCCTAATTATTATAACATATTTTGTTGCTAGTCTATAAAATGTATTTCAATCATTCACCGTGCGCCATTAGAAAACGTAAATTGTTGCAATAATTGTATCTAAACGAAAATGTAAAACGCCTTTTTAATGTTACATTTAAGTTGTGCTGTTAGTGATTTATAAACCCATTCCATTCTAAATAGATTTATAATTATAATTAAATATGTACTTAGCTCTTGCAGCTTTAGCAAAAGAACAAATTAGCAATTGCTTTGTTGTTAACGGTTTCCGCTAGGAAAGTGTTTAGAAAACGCTTCACAATAGTCGAAAATTGCAAATTGTGTTAAAAAAAATAGTACTTAATGCATATTTTGTAGCTTTTATTGCAAAATGCATTTCTAATTTTTTTATTATTAGTAATATTTAGTAATTACGCAAACGTTTTAGCAAAGCATTTTTTTTTGCTTAGGGCTATGTCACAGCAATATACATACTATATGTTTATAAAATATAATATATACTTAAGTATATAACTATTAATTAAACAAAAGACACAAATTTTTAGAACAAATTCAAATCGCATTAACTATTAGCCAATAAATAATACATTTCTTATGATTTTATTAGTTGCTCTTTTACAACTCGCAAAGCAAAAAGTAAATGAAGTTTTTAATACGACCGGGTAGGGATCTACACCTTAAGGAATCTAAATTTATATTATGTTCGTCCATTTCTACTGTTATTAAATGTAGTTAGGTATTGTCTCACGCTGCGGCTACATTTTTGTCAGACTTCCAACTCTTGCCACAAAGTGCTTGCCACAATACGAATGCGCCGCGACGGTCAGCCCAGGCCGAACAGGACACGAAGCAAGGACTTCGCTGCAGCAGCAACATCACCAGCAGCTAAACAAAATCAGCAACAATTGCTCTTGTCTGTTTCAGTTGGCCGCTGTGCATGGACTTGTTTGGTCCTCTGTCTTGTCTTTTGTCTTGTCTCTTGTCAGTGGCACGCGTCTCCGAAAGGCGCGCGCGTTTCTTGCGTGCGCTTTAAAACGCGCCGACAGCGTGCAAAAATTTGCCGCACAATTGAATTTGTCGCCCGGCAGGCCCTCTCGGTTTTCGGTGTCTATCGCGTTGACACAATCTTGAAATGTGCGTTCTTGCTTGGTCAAGAGCATTAAGTGGCCACAGGCAACAAAAAAAAAAAGAAACAAATATAGAAAAACCAGCAAATAATAAGAAGAAAAAGAAAAGCACAACAGCAAAAAACACGCAAACACACAAATAAAAAAAAATGTTACGTTTTTACGACACTTTCCACACCAAATGCTGTTCAATTGCGATGATTGAGATAATGAGGCAACGTTTTGGCATACATTTAGGCCGAATGTCTCTCAACGACGACGACGACCTTTTGCGGAAATTATGATCTGTCTATAGCGCACTTGGCCTTGGGTCCATTGATAAGGCGGCAAACATTTCCATTTTTTTCTTCTCGTTTCACTTAAATGAATTTAATCAAGCGAGCCAAGTGGGGTGATAAATAAAGAGCATGAATAGACACTAGATAATCCGGGGCATACTTTAAAGACATATTTATTATATTGCACATTTTACAGAACAGTTAAGCCTGTGACATTATGACTTAGAGCCCCTACAGGTCCAGATTATCGCCTAATCCTCTCGTTGCTGAATAGAGATTTATCTCCATTCAGTCGCTTTTAATTTATATAAATAAAACTATAAATTATTTTTTAAGTGTTTTCTGTGATTTGCAGACTCTTTAACTGCCTGTTGACATATTTATTTATTCCTTTTTCATGATTTATATTTACCCTTAAACCTGAAAGAATTCCTTGTTGCTGAACATACCAAAAAGTATTTTGCAACGGACAGCGAATAAATTGATAAAAATAATGGAGAAATTTTTAGAAATTTTAAAGACGAATGCGGACTCATTTAGTTAATGTTAGCAGCATTAAAAGATTTGTAAAATTCAAAATTATTTGCTCTGTGTTTATTAATTGTGTTCACTTTAATCGCGAGGCAGAAAATAAAAAATATATTTTAGTAAAAATGAACAGATCCTTCATTACATTACAAACCCAATAAAGGTAGATTTAGAAGTTAGGTGAAAACAAGTGAGAGTCTAGAAAAACTTAAAAGCTCTTCAAGTGGAAAACAATTGAAGGCAACATCTATGCAAATCTTTTATGGGCTTCTATTTTTACAATTTAGGTATTAAAATTAGCTCAATGAAGTGTCAAACTGACGTAAAATCTAAGTGAACTCGTGCGTTGTGGGCCATGGCCAAAGCTACGCTGCGTACAAAATATGAACTCCGCCCAGAAACTGCCAATGCAATGGCAGTCATGTAATTAACCATCCAAAATATTCAAAGGCCACCATTAAGGATAAGATATACGTGTACAAGATGGTCTATGGACGCAGCATTGCTGTTGGCATCTGCTTTATGACCGTTGTAGTTGTGCTCTCGGGTCTGATATATTATCTAAGTTTGGGTAAGTAGAAAAGAGTAGATGAATATTTGTATGAGTGATAAAACCAAAGAGAAGTTTTACTAGTTTCAATCATAATCACATTAAAAAAAATCCAAACTGGTCTTATTTCATATTTAACAATAAAAATAAAATGAAAGCTTAAATTTTATTCTATATAACCTAAACTGAAATCTAGTTTAATTTTGTAAAAATATGACAGTGGAGATATTTAAATTTTGTTAGCCCATTTTCTTCGCATACTTCCGTTTCTTACTTTGCAATCAGCATTACAGTGTCTAAATTATTTCCAAAAATAAAATATTATAATATTGCAATAAGCAAAAAAAAAACCGCATAACCGGCATTTGGGCAAAGTTTTTAAATTACAATATCTGAAATGGGTTGATTGTTTTTCTAAACTTTGTAAAATTCAATGCTGCTTTCAATTATTTCCAGAGACCCGAATCACATGCCGAAAATTCAGCTCAACTCTCAAATATCGCACATAAATTGATGCGCTTAAAAGTATTTGAAAGTAATTTGGGCTCTTCTAGGATAAATAATGGTTACAGGGTATAAAAAAAAATATATATAGAAAGCGTGACCATAAAAAAGAAAGTACAAACTTTGCCTGCGAGCAAAACAATTTTCACATTTATTTTACAAGCGGCCGTCTGTTTTTTTGCTGTATTTTGCTTTATGTGGAAAAACATTTTCACATTTTTCGCATTTTCATCGCGTTGGCAGCTTAAATACATATTTCTGGATTTTTATGCCCATTGCCAATTTGCCTATTGATTTGCCATAGCAAATCCAAAGCAAATATTTGATGAATGCCATTTCTTGGCTTAGCGTGGCGTCTGACGTATTTCTGTGTGTTTATTAAGGACCATCATCAAAGATACAAGACTTATGATATTAAAGTAGATGTCGCCTGTTCGGCTAGAGCTGCGACTTGCCCAGGGGCTGGGCTTTAAATCCGAGTCAGACAAATAGCCAAATGCCGCCTAGATTTGTATTTATGCGCCTTCGCTGCCAGCACAAAGTGTAATTGAAATGAAAAGTGTTGGGGCTAATGCACAGCGCGTGCCTAATGCACAGGATCAGGTTCAGGACCAAGTCAGAGGATGTATGCCGGCTGCTGAACTCAGCCAAAACTATTCACAATGACGCAATATGCGAACAGGAATTTCATTTGATTGCTAAGCAAAAAGTTGGCATTAATTAAATTAAGACATTCAATGATTAAGCAGCTTTGACTGAGTAGGGCACCATAAGATTTAGGAGACTTGCAAATAATTTGAGCTGTGCACAGCGAGAACTATAAAAATTATTTAGCTTTGGCTTTTACACTTGATATAAACTTAAATGGTTATTTTCTTATACCCTGCTCTCGTAAAATTAGTGTAAAAAGTGTATAAAAAGTTGAAGGGAGACATGTCAAAGGCGATAAAGCATATAAATTCCTGTTGAAGACGACAAGCTGAGCTATGCCCGGCCATTTGCCCAGGGACAATAGAAGCTTGAGACAAATTTGTACAAAATTATAAATAAACCTAAGCTTTAAATTTCTACTAATATATAGTATGTAGTATATATTATTTCATCCAAATATATACGCCTTTTTGTTGCAATTTTGTTGACGAATATGCGTGCAAAAAGTTTGCTAATAGCTCATAAAGCAAAACTATATTAGTTTTGCTCCATACAAATGCTAATCAGTGCCCCAAACTTAGCGTGCTTTTTTGTTCAATTTGGCACTTGAATTGGTAATATATACAAAAATATACAACTGACAACAAAGCCAATAGAAGAAAAGAGCTGATAGAAGCAGTCAAAAGTTTTGTGCACATTAATTTTAATTGATATACTCTTTTATGTGCACAATTCTTGGACTTTTGTGAATTTTAAAAAAGAAACGAAACGAAAAAACAAGTTCCGCTTCCAGCAGAAAAATTACTCAAAACATACGCTGCGTATGCAGACAGCCCTCTGCTTGGGCAACGTGACGTATGGGCAATAAAAAAATTAAAAAAAAAAAAAAATAAAATGCAACACTTTATGTGGTTTATTCAGGTCAATATGCGTCTCTGTTGTTGCTGTGCTAGACAACTCTTGTCTTATTAATTATTTTCAACATTATTTTTATTGTTGTTGTTGTTGTTGTACAAGGACCTTGCCCCACGGGCAGCTTCGCGTGCAACAATGACATACAGTGCGTGCCGCAGCGTCAAATGTGCGACAAACATCTCGACTGCGAGGATGGCAGCGATGAGAATCCGGTCGAGTGTGGCAATCTTTATGGCAGCAAGGAGTTAGCCGATAAAATTGTGCGTAATGCGATTGAAAAGAAGAAGCAGCAGCAACAACAACAGCAGGAGAATCAACGCCTCATGATAGTTACTTCGAATTCCAGCGCCTGGGATTCGCCTTCGCTGGCGGGCAGCAGAAATCAAAGCATGCCCATACCCTGTGGTACGTATTGACAAGATTAAGAAATCCGCTTAAGGCTCACACGGCCATTGTTTGGGGATGAATGTTGTGGAATATTGATAGAAATCTTGACAGAGCCTGTGCATGTTAAAGTGATTTAATGAGTATATAGCTTGCTATTTAAATTAACAAAATCGTTCTTTATAAAATTTATGGAGTCGTGAATAATTCACATATTTTCAAGGTTTATAAGGAAATATATAAACTATTTACGAGTCCGACTAATTTAAACTAATTTTTTTTTGTTAAAATAAAAATAACGACTGACAAATAAATAAATAAAAGTTTATTGAGCCTCAGCTGCTAGAACTCTTAATTTTCTTTAATTTAAATAATATAAATTATAAAAAATTAAATAGTAAATGTTTTGTTTTTATCCGTTTCTTTTTTGTACATATATTTAAATATATATTTTAGAAATAATTTGTTTAATTTATTTATATATATAAATGAATCTTTGAAAGCATTAATAAAAAATATATATAGATTTATGTATATATGTATATATATATGTATACCCTTGTAGATGATATTATAATCTTGTCATGAAATGTGTAACGCATTGAAGGAGATATCTCTGACCCATCCACTATATATATTCTAGATCAGCATCAACAGCTGAGTTGATATAGTTATGTTCGTCTGTCTTTTTCTACTCTCACATATTGCAAAAGGAAAATGTCTACAGCGTATTTATTTATTATTATTATTTTCTCGCTATGAGTTACCATTTCAACTATTGCTTAGAATTATTAGCTACGCATGCCACACTGTCAATAGTCTGTACTATCTGACCTGTTCTTATATGGCCCATCAGCTATCACAACATATCCACGACAATGTCAGTGCGGCGGTGGCACAATGCTCTACTGTGGCAGGTTTGCCAAGCTGCGACGCTGGCCGCGCATCAGCGAGGAGGTCACGAATCTCTTCATCATACGCAACAATGTGACACTGAGAGAAAATCTATTTGCCAATTTGACGCGACTTCAGAAGCTGTAAGTGCACTCCAGCCCATATGGTTACCACCTATTATAAATGTATATATCTTAATCTGTAGCACGCTCAAACACAACAACATATCACGGCTGCCACCGGGCTGCTTTAGCGGCTTGCCGCATTTGGAACGCCTCGAGCTGGGCCACAATAATTTTAGCCAATTGCCGCATTTCATACTCAAAGATCTGCCAGCGCTGCAGTGGCTGTTCCTGGTTAACAATCAGCTGCGTTCTTTTCCCATGGACCACTTGGCCGCTATGCATAAGCTGGAGTGGCTCGTCCTGAGCCACAATCGCCTGACCCTGCGGAATGAGCAGCTGTCCAAGAGTCCGAAGCTTGTCGAAATGTAAGTAACATAAGTAACTGGAACTGGGTCTGGGCTAAATGTTGCCGCTATTTGTTAGATTAAAAATACAAAAACAGCAAAAATAGGAATAGGGTCCACTGGCCAGAGCCAAACCGACTATTTGTTAAGGTCCTGTACTCGTTCAGTTGATGTATTCAAGCGTGAAATGCTTTACAGTGTCTGCGTCTCTGTCTGCGACACTGGCTGGAACCGCCAGCATTTTTTAGGGGGCGGGTCGAGCACCATCAAGTGCAGTTGGGCATGTGTTGTGCCCTTAATGGAAGGTTATGGCATGGGTGTAGCAGTTATAAGCCATTATGATGTGCCATGGATGGCATAATAACAGTTGGCATTTAAAGCTGCCAAAACACAAATAAAGCCAGCCAGTTTAATAAAGAAATTGAATATATATTGAAGTTTGGGGCACACGTCTCTGAGCAGACGGAAGATTTGAACTATAATACATATCTATCTTATATTTATTATTATTATTGAATTTTATTTTTATTTATTTATGATACTATTTTTTCAAGCTTTCAACTATCATAAATATTTCATGAGCAATTGCATGCCTCACTTTAAAAAGCCTTTAAACTTAATATACCATATAACGTGTGCGATTTATTGCCCTGCTTTTTAGGCTTATTTCAAGCAACCACTAACTAACTAACTAACTAACCGACCTCCATATATCATTTGGTCAGGAGAGCGTGAAAAGATACAAACAGCTGGAGACCGTGGGTTAGATACAGTTACGAGCACTTAAATACTCGCACACAAGCGTACTTTTTGCGGAGGGCGTTTGTGGTTAATGTTTTTTTCTGTTTCACAGATATGCCCTTACAAAAGTGACTTTACCTAATTCAACTCGTTTGTTCAGCTCTTAAGACTTACACATTAAGCTGTACGTCTTTTTTTGGGGATAAGCAGAGCCTGTTTTGGAGACTTGGCAAGAAACTGGCACAGAAAAGGTTTCTACTTTTGAAATGATAAAATATGAACAGTTGAGAGAATATATTTATATATGTATTTATAAACAAAGTAGACTCTATTAGACTCTATTTCTGCAAGCCTAAATTTAGGGAAGTTCTTTTCAATTGAGTTCCACGGAAATATTGTAATGTTTAATATAAAACAATTTTTGCTAAAATCTCGACTTTTTATTTATTAAGTTTATTATAATTATATTAAAACAGAGCTTAAGTGCAGAGTATGCATAGTTCTCTGCAAGCTGCAACTTCCTGTTTTAATCGTTTTTCCGCTTATTCTAATTGTTGCTGCACTTTATTTTCCAGCTTCTTGGATAACAATCGCATCGAGTATATTGGCGAGAAAACTTTTGCGCAATTGGATAATTTAGAGCTGCTGTAAGTTGAAACGGAAAAACCTAACTAGAATTTACCCTTCTACTAGCCCCAAGGACGTGCGCTTTAAGGCTGCCCCCAATACATTTGGCCATTTCACTTAGTGTTTTTGTTGTTTTGTTTTTTTTTATTTTAAATGCTGTAAACGGCTGCCTGACATCGTCCCAGCGTGCCCCCTTGCATTAAACTCTTAACAAAAAGTGTCGAAAAGTCTATTGAAATATGTTGTACTTAGGTTTTATGGGGCGTATGCGTAATTTTTACTCTTGACTGCATTTGCTTTCATTTCGTTTTCGGGTGCGCTATCATCGGCGCTGCTACAAGATTTATATGGGTTACATTTGCCTGGAAATATCCCTCAAATCCTAGTCCCACAACCCTCCCACTGCCAGACTAGCAGACTAGCAGTCAGCAAAATTGGAGCAGAGAGAGAGAGCTTCAAACAAATTGCGCATACGCTCAGTTGACGCAGTTGAGATACTATTGGCATATCAGTTGAACATGTTATTCAATTGGACACCTTAGACGCTTGAATTTATGCGCCAATAAGCATAAATTTCACTTTCAATTGTTTACACATATGCTCTAAAGCAAATATTTAAACGTAGAGTCATGCAAATTGCCTGCATGTGTGTGGGTGCTAACCTGTGAGGGTGGGTGTGTGTGTGTGGGTGTGTGTGCCTATAATTCAGTCATATCTCTGGCAGTGTGGCAATTTGAAAACATTTATCAGGCATCTTGGCTGCCGTCGGGTGCACATAATCATTAATTTATGCATCAATAGCTGACAATATAAGTCAATGGGTCGTCTGGGAGCCCGGCGCGTTGGTAAGTGAAAATAAATCAGCATCACAAATTGCCGCACGTAAATAAATGTGTGTGTGTGTGCCCCGCACAAGCTAAAACTGGCTTAGGCTGACACCCGCTGCGTATACGCAATATTTTTGTAGCTCATCTAAGTTTGCCTTACGATGATTTGCAAAATAGCTGAATGAATTGTATCACAGACAATAGGCTGAGAAAAAAATTAGCTCAGCACCAGGATAATCCTAGATCTAAGTTTATTAAATCGAGCACAAAACTTTTGAGCTAACCCCATTGTCCGATAGTAACTGTTTTTTCCACCATGCAATTTCTGCTCCTGAAAGTATGCAGCAGAATTTTGCAATCGTCAAATGTTTGTCGACCTATTTGTGATTAGTGCTCACCCGTTAATTCGGCTGAAATTAGCTGAGAACTCAGCTAATTTAAATGAATGCCCAAAAAAAATTGGTTCTCTTAATTTTCAGGTATTTCATAAAAAATTATTTAATATTATTCTTATATTATCTTTTTTGCCAAATAAACATATTAATAAAATACTTTTTTCATGCCTAACTTCCCTTCCACAGCGATCTTCAATACAACCTCATCACACACATACACGTGAAAGCCTTTGCAAATCTAACAGCCATTTCAGATATGTGAGTAAATATTTATATATATATTAAGTTATTAAATATGAAGCGGACGCTAAGCATGAATTATGTGGCGCAGCACTAATTAGCATAAAAACATAAGTAATGTCCCCTTGGGCCGGGTAAATAAACTCGCCAATTGGACTGAGAACAAACAAAGGCAAAACTGGACAATTGCTGAACTGGCCAATAAAGAACCCAAAAATTATTTTCGGGTGCAGTGGCAAACACAGCAAAATGAAAAGCTGTAAACTTTCAGAGTTCTCCCAAAGCGAAATCAAAGTTGGATTCTGTTTTTTCCTTAACGTCTATCTGCTTTGTTATTCTTTTTTATTATTTAGGCAATTATTGTTTATAGACAATCTACCGATTGTAATCGTTAAAATATCTATTTATAGCTATATCTATGACCACATCGATCACACATTCAATTTGGCATTTTATGATCTTGGCCACGCCTTCTAATTTGACTACTTATTGCATAAATTATTAGCTCAAAGCTAGTCGAACCATTATGGCCAGCTCGTATAAAAGCTCTGTGTGTGCGTGTGGTAACTCACAACAAATAATACAATCTATAAACTAAAATGTTGCAGTGGCTCATAAAAATGTTAATAGCTATGACGAGAATTCAAGCTGAAGGCATACACAACGCGGCGTATGCTTAATATTGTAGAGATTTTCTCAGTTGCTCTTGGAAAGGATAACTTTAGGTGAATCATAAGAGAGTACACTTGAAGAATGCTTGTTTAATGTATGTTTTTTCTGATTAGTGAACAATTTGGTTTCATTTATTTATAAATTTTTTAATGGAACAAGAAAAGGTGCTGTGGATTTATACTTTTATTTATTGTGCCCTAAACCCATTGCAAGTTAGTAACAAGGAAACGGGCAGAAGGAAGCAACTCTGACCATATATATATATTCTTGATCAGGATCAATCGCCTAATTGATCTAGCCAAGTCCGTCTCTCTGCCCATCTGTCCGTTTGTTCGTCTCTCCGTTTATCTGTCTGTCGGCATGCATGAACGTAAAGATCGCGGAACATTTAGAGACTTTAAATTTGTATTATATATATCAAGCATATTTTCCTTTCTAATGTAATATATAATATTTATAATATAAGCTAGAAAGAAACTTTAGAGATCTTGAAAGAACAGCTTGCAATATTATGAATAATTTTTTAAATATTTAAAATTTCTTATATTTACATTTAGTTAAATTTTGCATAAATTTCTACTAGTTATTTCTCAAACACTTAGAGATAGATACATTTGTATCTTCAAGCCGCTAGCCAAGTTTGAAAGTCGTCCAAGCACAATTTATGGCTTAAATTCAGTTCGATTTCTTTAGCTTGTGCCGTTACTTATGCCATGCACTGCTCGTATATATACACACATACACATAAATATATCAATATCATATTTAATAAATGTGGTCGCCGGTCTACCAACTACCCCAGTCTGGCATCAGGCTAAGACGTTAATAAATTTACCAACCCGACTAACACATACATCAGCATCAGCATATCAATGCCGAGACACACGCACGCACACACACACACGTTGAGAAATATGTTGTGCTTGTCACTTGACCAAAAAAAAAAAAAGCGTCGAAAAAGATATTTAAGCAAATGTATCTGCAGCTTTTGTATCTTGGGGCAACGCTGTCTGCGTGTTGACTTTTGGGCCACGGGGCAAGTTGACGGCTTCAGGCGACGACAGCAGCAGCAACAGCAACAGTAACAAATAAACAAACAGCATTATGGCCAAATAAAAATGCAAATAAATTTGTTTTTTATGCGAAAACAATTTCGACAAAGCAGCGCCCCGGTTTGGCTGATGGACAGCACATGTACTAGCTTTGGGTTCGAACCTTACGCCGGCCAACCCGCTGCCATATAATGAAGGAGTTTATTGAAATTGGCGCTGCGCATGGTCTTTTGGCCATTATTATCCCTAAAGTCATTGTTGGCAGCGAGTGAAATCCTTTGCTTGCCTGTTGATGTTGCCCGTCCCCAGTGTGTGGGCGTGTATTCTTTAGCATGCAAATAATGCGCCTGCAAGCGTGCTGTGAATTTTTGAACAGTCTCCCGGTTGCGCAGCGTCAAGTTCATAAAACAAATGTGATTTTTATGGCACTACACTTTGTATCTCCCAGATACAAATGTATCTGAAGCTGCGCGTGTGTGTGTGCGCGTCTGCCCGTTTTGTCTTCCTTTAAATGCCGCTCACATTTCTGCTGACTTGTTGTTTACTTGACCAGACCTTCCGCCCACCTTTTGGACAGTTGGCTAACATAAAAAATCGCTGCACTAATTTGATTTTTGCCGTTCCAACAAAATTCGCACTGGCAGCTCATTTTCTAGCTAAGCTGCTTTCGGCCAACAAGTGTACTCGCGCACGTGTACAGGGTGTCTTTTCTTGTGGCTCGACTGGAATTAAAGCGCAATGACGTTAATTGCGGCCAATGATTGTAATGCTAGGGCAAACACAGAAAATCACCCACGGCAAATGGCGCAAGCGAGGACATTGCTCGAAAGGTTTCGCAGCGCAGTACGTGCCATTTCCACTGATTGGCCTAATACCTTCCATTTAATTGTATCAAATGCCAACAAATGGGTCCACCCCACGCCCTTGTTTTTTTTTTGCGTTGGGTGGCCTGTTATAATATACTTTTAGATTAACGATATTTCTAAATATTTTAAAAACCCCTTCTATTCGAATTTTGTTTTTCAATTATACAAAGTATATATGCAAACATTAATAAATGGCATTTTTATCAAATGCAATGCAGAGAAACCCCTTTTTAAATTAAATTGAGTATTATTCTTTTTGTTAAAAAAATAAGCGCAATGATCATACTGTTTATTTTCTATGAGGAACTATACTAAAATATTGCAGCAATTAAAATTAAAACGGTGCTCATATAAATGCAAAAATATCTTTTATTTATTGCAGTAAAATAAAGTACACTCAACAAAAGTAGAACTATCTCTCCTCGGTTTGACACATTAATTAATAAAAATCTTGAATACACACAGGAATGCCCCAACTACAGTTAATTTGCTTAACAAATTATTTAGTGCAGCTTAAAATTCATTTAAAAACAAGCAGAAATACCGCAACAAATTATTTAAGAGTAAAAACATTTTCCATACAATTTCACTCTCTGCCTTAGAACTAGACGACCTTTAGGCCTCTGTACTAGGCTTAGGACCCAATAAGGTCATGCAACAAGAATAAAGAATTCATTGTAAAGCAGAGCATTCAGGCAGTCGTTGTTTGCCAATTGAGTTATATTTTAAGCCGCAATTCGTGTTGTGCCCTAGCACTAATACAACTATGGGCAGCTATTTGACATGTTGTTAAATGTGCATTGACCGACCCGCTGCCCACCATATTTTGTGTGTCTCCCGCCCTGTGTGTGTGTGTGTGTACGCGCGTGGGTGCTCTGCTGACGCATTATGTTGCCTACTTTCGTGCGCAGGCAACCGCAGAGCATACACATGTATGCGTGTGCCTGAGCAAAAGCAATGGGCATTACATGGGCCACTTATTTGCCGACGCAAGGGAGTGGGGTGGGAGAAACTTATTACAGGCTGGCAACTTGTTGCCGCCGCTTGTGAAATATGTTAATTGTCGTCTGAAATTATCAAAGGCCCGAAACAGCTGCCCCGACATTTATGCACTGTTATTAAGTAGCCTTTTTAATGTCTGGACAACCAGGACACAAAGCCTGCCCCTTTTTTTGTGGCATTAAGTGCCGCAGAATTAACATAAAATTGCGGGACAGGCATCAATCGAGTGGGGGTGGGACAGCGACAGCATTATCAAATAGCAATTTATGCTGCAAGTAAAACATTTACTTTATGGTTAAGCTAGTGCCAACACACACAACAAACCCCTCTCACCGCCATCCCCTTAACCAAACAGCATGGAATGCAACTTTATAGCTGGCGAGCAATTACCAGCTCTGGCTGTTTGCTGGATACGAGCTGCTGTGCGCGACAGAGGGTTGTCTTTGATGGGGGTGGAGGGAGGGCGTGTCGTATTGTCTTTGTGCGGCAAGCCATAAAAACAAACTGTTTTCAGTTGACGCCGGCATTGATTGACCAGACAAGTGCAACGAATGGAGCTAAATAGCATCAACATCAGCTGCTGCACTTCACAGACGCAAGCGCGCGGACACGGGGCAGAGATGAACGGAAGCGGCTGCCAGGGCAAAAGGGAGATGAGCGGATGAGCACTGGCTACGGCTGGAGCCAACAGCGACGTCTGCAAGCTGTCATGAATGATGCGCTTTTTCCTGTGACTGAGCAGGCCACAACACCCAATTCCACAACACTACCCCCCCGAAGATAAACTATAAATGTGTGCAGTGATTTATATCAAATCACACATACACACATACAACCACACACACTTGCACAGCTATTAAATAAGAATTTTCGTTATTATGTCGCACACAGTTTTGTTATTCGTGTAGATTTTATTGTGCGACTTTTAAAGCTGTTGCGTTTGAGTAATAAAAGGAAAAAAAAAGAAAACTTTTTAAAGACCCTATCCCTAGATATTTCGCACATATCTGAATGCACATGTATGGATGTAATCCGGCAGTTGAAAGCGTCAACAAATGTTGTCTTGTGTTTTTTTGCTTTTATCAGCTTAAAATGCCTGTGCGCCCATTATTTGGCTTACGCGGCGTATGCGCAATCTTCTGCTCTGTATAGACGGCCCATTTCATGCATTTTTTCACTCCTATTTTCTCTGCTTTTATAGCCGGCTCATTGGCAATCCCATTAAGGAATTATCTGGCGAAACATTTCTGTATAACACACACCTGGAGGCGCTGTAAGTAAAGAACAATGCCCTTTTTTTTTTGACTATAAATAGGGGCAGGCATCTGCTATTTGCGGCTAAGAATTAATTTGGATGTATGTTATGAATATGACATAAAAGAAGCTCTTGGGGCTTGTCTATGTATCAAATTTTCTTGAGACGATTTTAGGTTTGATATGTTTCAAAATTATTTAATAATATTATTCTATGTATTATTTTTATGCTCTCACTTAAACAGCTCCTTGGCGTATATGCCGCTGCCCATAGACCGAAATCTAATGAAGTCCCTTAACGTATCCTTTTTGAATCTAACCGGAATCGAGTTCGAACGCATCGACTTTGCGGCACTTAATGAGATACGGAATCTTAAGTACATAGTCTTCGATCGTTTCTACTACTGTTCCATGACGCCGCATGTGCTGATGTGCAAGCCCAAATCGGATGGGGTTAGCTCGTTAAAGGATCTATTGAGCAAGCCCTCGCTGCGCCACTCTACCTGGTTCATGGCAACGCTCTCCATAGCTGGCAACCTGATGGTGCTCTGGGGCCGTTTCATCTATCGCGATGAGAATGTGGCGGTGACCATGGTCATAAGAAATCTGGCGCTGGCCGATCTGCTGATGGGCTTCTATCTGCTTATCATTGGCGTTCAGGACTTCCGCTTCAGGGATGAGTATCACAAGTATGTATGAGTTATATATGTGCCATATAGTTTGACCATTATATCGGTTTTAAGGGTGGCCCGCGATTGGATAAGCTCGTGGCAATGCAAAGCAATTGGCACGCTGGCGGTGAGCTCCTCGGAGGTGTCCATGCTCATATTGGCCTTTATGTCGCTGGAACGTTTTCTGCTTATTGCGGACCCATTTCGTGGCCATCGGGCAATCAGCGTACGCATCATTTACTTCTCGCTGCTGTGCATTTGGGTAACTGGCGTGGGTCTGGCCATTACGCCCGTGGTCATCTGGTCGTCCAGCACAACGGACTTCTATGGCACCCATTCGGGCACCTGTTTTCCCTTGTTCATTCACGAGGCCTATCCCCTGGGCTGGCAGTACTCGGCCTTTGTGTTTCTGGGCGTCAATTTGCTGCTGCTGCTCATGATTGCCCTCTTGTATACGGCTCTCTTAATATCTATTTGGCGTACTCGCAGCGCCACGCCCCTTTCGCTATTGGACTGCGAATTTGCGGTGCGTTTCTTTTTTATTGTACTCACAGATGTGCTGTGCTGGGCACCCATTATAGCCATGAAAATTTGGGTGTTCTTCAAATATAATATATCGGATGATATTTATGCCTGGCTGGTGGTCTTTATATTACCGCTTAACTCTGCTGTCAATCCGCTGCTCTACACCTTTACCACGCCCAAATATCGCAATCAAATTCTGTTGCGCGGTTGGAAGAAGATAACGTCAAGGAAACGCACCGAGACGGGACATGGTAATGTGGCCAATACAACAACAGGCACTGCGACGGGCTCCTCACAAAATCCGGACGAATATACCACAGCCACGGGCATAAAGTCTATGCCATTGGCATTGACGCTAAGCCACTGAATTGCTGGTCAACCTTACAAATTTTTTTCGTACTCTTCATTATGTCTAAATACTTTAACCATATATATGATATATATGTATCTATATGTGTCTATATGTGCATCCAAGTCATTGTTAACCAATCCAACAAAAGCGTGAAATACATTTAATGTGATATTTGTAAAATAACTTTTTAACTTATTTGTTGGGACTGGGCTTAACTTTAGAAATTTCCAAACTATATATCCCTAATGAAATTTGAAAAAATAAATTTCAAACCAAGGCTTAAACCAAATCCCACAGCAGGAACTTGGTGCAAAGCGTCAAACCAACGAGAACTTATTTCTTGATATGCAGCCCTTCATTTAAATGAACTTTTTTTTGAGTATTTTTGCATAAACATTTTTTGTTTTGTAACATTCAACAAAGTCCAAATCCATCATTAATCAGAGCTTAAAGCAACTACAGAGTTATCTGATGTTTGCCTGTCTACCAGGGGAGGAGCCGTCGCCAGGTTGCATAAATGCAATCAGCTGTCATTAGTTGCGCCATCAAGCTCCTCCTGCACTTCCTGCTGCTCCCCCTGCTGCTCCCCCTGCTGCTGTGGCACCTTGAGCTTGGCCAGCACACGCTTAGAGCGCATTATATGGAATTTGCGCATGGACTCCAGTTGCTCCAGTGTCAGTTGCATGTTGTGTTTGCGTTGTGCGTGCAGGCGCAGTCTGCAACAGAGATTACAAATTAATAGTAGGAAGGCAAATTAGGGTGGGATGACAGGACTGACTTGTAACGAGCCGGAAATCCTTGCTGACAGACATTGCACTCGAATGGCATCTCGGTGTGGGTGCATTCGTGATTGCGCAGTGCAGAAGATGAAGTAAACAGCTTGCCACAACTGGCAAATTGGCAGAGAAAACGTGCGCTGCCGTGCTGCACCTGCTGATGGACAGTCAGGTGGGAGCGTTGCGCAAACTTGCGATCGCACTGATCGCAATCAAAGGGAAAGAAGCCGTTGTGATAGCGCATGTGAATTTCAAGACCCTTGGCAATGGCAAATACCTTGCCGCAGATGGTGCAGGCGCTGCCCGACTTCTTGTGCTGCGTATCCACATGCACCTTGAGCGCCTGTTTGGTGAGATAAAAGCGATCGCAGGCGTTGCACTTGAAATGCGGCCGATCCGAGAGATGTATGAGCTGATGCTTCAGCATGTGCGAATGATTGCGAAACGGTTTCTTGCAGAACTGGCAGCTAAATGGGCCCAAGAAACGTTGGCGGGGAATAACATCATTAGCGTTGCGGAAGGCTATGTTCGCGGCAGTGTTCACAGTTTCCGGCTCACTGGCCGATTGTTCTGCAGCCTGTTCCTCTAGCTCCACATCGCTTAAGGTATCTTCGATCATATGCGAATCTTCTACTAAATGTTTATCGTACTCTATGGCCAGCACATGTTCCTCGCTATCCTTGTTGTCTGTGTCGATCTGTTCGGCGTGCTCTACCTTTGCGGCTGCATTTTGCATGGTTTTAAGGTGCTTGTTTGCTAACGCAACCTTTTTGTAGAAATCATATGCCCACTGTAGCTCCACACCGCAGTGTTTACATAATTTGTGAGGCTCATGCTCCCCGCACTCCAGCAGATTGTCCTTCGTACATATCTCATAGCAATCGTAATATGTAAGCTGTGCCTCCTCGTCATATATCAAATTCATGTCCAGCATCTGGGCGCGATGCGGCTGCTCAAGACAAACGCGACAGCAGTTGCCCAAATCTTCAATCACAATTTCAGCAATAGCCACAGTCATCACAATTTAAAATAAAAAAAGGAGCTTTAAGCGCGGACTTTAAATTGCGAATATAAACAAACTTTCGGGCAAAGGAGACCAAACACAGCGCAGTTCATAGAGATGTGAAAAACAATGGTCTTCGTAACAAGACATATCGAAAAAGTAATATCGAAATAAGAATCGCAGTTTTGGAATATTCACAGCTCACCACTAACTAAAGTCGATAACAATAACTCTCAACTGCATAGTTATTGAGGGGGTCACACTGGTACCGGCTTATGTTTTGACATTCAATCGACGATTTAAATCCCTGGGCAGCCACCCAACAATCATAATGGAGATTGAGCCTAGGACAACATTGGTACCCGATTTGGAGCATCCAGATGACGGCCAGTACATTTGGTTGCCAATTCTGGTGCTATTAGGAGTTATTGTGCTCGCGGGCCTGGTAACTTTTACTTTTACCATCTTATCTCTATTGATATTTGTACAACTGCATTTCCCTTATTTGCATATGCGTTTATACAAACCACATAAAGGTTTATGCCATGTCACGTAGCCGTCGTTCACTCAACTGCGTTTACTTCAAGCGTCGCAGTGCCACGCGTAATGGCTACGCCAATGTCGATGAAGAGGATTCTGATGTATCCATGGTTGGTGCAGATGATTTTGGCGAATCAAATGCTATAACAAGTCTCTTGGATGCTCGCTTACATATAGAACCTGTCTGTACCATTCACTTGTCTCTATATATTTTATATTAACGATATTTATTAACAGCGATCCGAGGGTAATCGACAGTCGAGCCAATTACACCTTGACGCAGATGACATCGCCTTGCGTACCTAGCAGAGGGAGTTCCCACATTGCTTTAACAAAGGACAATCGCTTACAAATTAAGGAAAACAAAAGACTATTTACTGGCTTATATTGTTGTATACACACTTTCGTTTTATTGTCTACGTTATCTTTTGCTGTTAATGTCAGCTCAAAGTGAAGCGTAACTAATACGCCTTGTCTAAACGTGCTAGACATTTGTACATTCGTTAAAAATATGTGCCTATTATTTTCACTGTTAATCAACGGTATTAGTTGCGTCTAATAGACGCGTTGTTAGATCATAAAAACCAAAGAAAAATGCACCGCCCAGTGTTATCCAGAGCACGCGTGGCACAATGCCGGCAAACAAACTGGAATAGATAATAAATATACATACGAACGAAACACAATAACCAAATCATTCAAATAATGTTTACCCGCTGATGCCGCGCTCCATATAAATGCCATGTAGTACAGCTGGTATGGTGCGCCGCCGCGCCAAGCTCTCACGATCTGCGAGCATTATGCGCGTCTTGACCACATCCAGCGGCGTTGTTAAACCAGCCGCAATGCCACCCGCAACGGCTCCGCACAGAGCAACAGAGAAGGGTGTCGACTCATAGCCCGTCACTGGCGTCCACTGTAGCTTAAAGTATTCCCACAATGGGAACTGTATAAAACTGAAAGGGATTTCACGCATGATCGTTGAACCGAAGCCCCGATAGAGCCCACGTCGCAGACCCTCAGTGCGATAGGCGCGCAATAGAATTTGCAGCGCCGTCTGGTGTTGTTTGTGGCCCAAAAGCGTTTGGGAACGTTGCTTGGCAATTTCTACAGGTACACGTATGAGGCAGGCAAGCTATAGGAGATGCAGGAGAGGAATGCTTAATAAAGTCCTTTTGAGCCAACTGCAACCACTTACCACTTCCGCGCTAGAGGCTGCTGCCATGTGTACAAATGGTGAATCTTTGGTGTTGCTCACGGAGCTCAGCAGCTGCTTGCCACACTCGTATGTGCAAAAGAATAAGGCGGCAGTGGGTGCGCTGCCAGCTGCTGCTGGCGCCAAGCCTTTGTATATGCCACGAAAGCCGCCGGCGCGCCAGAAACCCAATTCGCTCTGTAAACGCGTCTTAACCGTATCGATGGGAAAGAGTGCAATATCCACAACAAATCCCGCGACGCCACCAGCCTAAAATGCATAAACATAACAGATTGAATTTGTTATTGATATCATGTCACAACTTACGATAAGCGCGTGCAGAAATGTTAGCTTTGAGACCGGCTCTTGCATATCGATTTGCGCCGGAATTGCGGCGGGCGCTAATTCCGCTGCCATTTGTTAGTAAATTGTTTAACAGTTGGTTGTCCTATAAACACATGATGCAACTCAGTTGTTTTTATTTAAAAACAAACTCCAAACGAATGTGGTTGTTAACGTAACAGCAACATCAAGAAATAATACACCAGCGCGCCGAAGATTGCATACGCTTCGACATACATGAAGGTGTTGTGTGTGCTTGTTAAAAATGCAAATAAAATAAAAATGTTTAAAGTTAATTACAAAAATATTTAGCACTACTACTTTGATTGCTTTAATTATTGAATTATTGGAGGGCATTAAATGAGCATGCGTTTATCCCAATCGAGATTTCTACTGTATATATTGACAACTTTAAATACTAATTTAGAAATTTGTTTATACAATATAATACAATATAAATTCGTTTAAAACATTTAGGTGTATTTTTTTTTATATAATTTTACCAGTTGTTACAAACGTAATGACAGCCACATAATTCTCATCCAAATTTAAAGAATATTTATGACGTCACGGATTTGCGCCAGTGTTGCCAAGTCGATAGCTCATTTGTTTACGAAACGATAATTTTGCTTTAATCATATCGAAATAAATATCGCTTCGCAAACATATGGTTTTGCGTTTTGGCCGTGGTTACTGACAGCAATAAGAAAAGGGTTGAGCAGCTTTGCACGGCGCACTTGAAAAGGCAAATAAATCACAGTACGAAACATGGCCATACGTTTGACGCACAGATTACTGCAGGCCCAGGTTCCGTTCCTGACGCGCGTAAGTTGCGACGAGTAGGATAGTCCCCTAGTTGACCAACGGAGCGGCTGGCCAAGAAAATTACATAATGTGTTGACTGTGGAGCATGGATAAAAACTGAACTGAGAATTTCATTTTGCAACCTTTGCAGGGCTATCCGCTGCTCGTGACTAAGGAGAAGACCGAGGATGTGGCTCATACGAAATCTAAGTTGCAAAAGAAACTAACGGTACATATTTGAGGTTATAGAACTAATATATGCATTAGTAACTGCATCTGCTGCTGCTCCACCAGGGCACTGATATACCCTCGGCGCAATATGGCGGTCGCCATGGAGTCACTATGCTGCCTGGCGGTGGCATTGGACCGGAATTGATGGGCTATGTGCGTGAAATCTTTAGGTACTGTGGCGCACCCATTGATTTTGAGGTAATCGACATTGATCCCTCCACCGAGGGTAACGATGATCTGGAGTATGCGATTACCTCCATCAAGCGTAATGGCGTTGCGCTCAAGGGAAATATTGAGACCAAGTCACATAGCCTAGATGAAACTTCACGCAATGTGGCTATACGTAATGAGCTGGATCTCTACGTGAATGTCGTTCACTGCAAATCATATCCAGGCATTCCTGCACGTCACAAGGACGTTGACATTGTGCTCATCCGCCAAAACACGGACGGTGAGTATGCCATGCTGGAGCACGAGTCTGTCCAAGGTGTTGTGGAGAGCATGAAGGTGGTGACTATCGACAATGCTGAGCGTGTGGCACGGTATGCCTTCGAGTTTGCGCGCCAGAACAATCGCAAGCGCGTGACGACCGTACACAAGGCCAACATCATGAAGCTGTCGGACGGTCTCTTCCTGGATGTGGCCAATCGTGTGCACAAGGATTATCCGGAGATAGAGCACAACAACATGATCATTGACAATACTTGCATGCAGGCTGTATCGAATCCGCATCAGTTTGATGTCATGAATATGACCAATTTGTATGGCACCATTGTGTCGAATGTGCTTTGTGGATTGATTGGCGGCGCCGGCCTCATCTCTGGACGCAACTATGGCGATCACGTGAGTATCATAGTTTAGTGTTGTGTATGTAAGTATATAGTTTATAGTTTGTTTTGTTTTTAGTTTGCTGTCTTCGAGCCCGGCACCCGTAACACTGGCACTGCCATTGCTGGCAAGAATATAGCCAATCCCGTGGCCATGATCAATGCCAGCATTGATATGTTAAATCATTTAGGTCACAAGGATCATGCCAAGGTTATCTATGATGCCACCTACCATACGATTGTCAATGATGCCATACGCACGCCAGGTTTGATATATGAAAAGCAAGTCGGTGTTGAATTTTGAATGTCAATTCCAAGCTGCCTTATTTGGAATTTGGTTCAATTCTGCACAGGCCTATTCAACTTTATAAAACTCGATATTTTATAACAATTTCTTTCCTCCCCATATAGATCTGGGCGGCACGAACAGCAGCACGGACGTAGTTGAGAACATACTCAAGATCTTGAGTACAAAGCGTGTTAATTGGTAAAATAATTAACCTGAGTTTAATATTTAAGCATATTTGTTTTTGAGAGAGCGGGAGGCGCTCGCTTCAGTTGGCGCTCTCCTTTAGTGCTGTATTTAGTCGTATAGAGTATCTATATGTACCATCTATTCGCTTGTCCTATTTACTTCACTGTTACACGATGCTGTTAAATGCTGCGCCTATTTTTTGTATTATTTAATAATTTCATGCTCTTTTGTATTATTTCCACTTCAACTTGAACAGAACTGTAAGTGTTATACGTAATTTTGCTGTTAAAACTGTTAAACTTAACTGTGTCTAACCCTAAACCCCAAACACAAACACGAAATTTACTAATTTTATAACAAGATATGTTTTGCCTTAAGTTGTTTTATGTTGTTTTTTTTTTTTTTTATCGATTCTAAGTAGAAGTATTTCCCTTAGTACCCACAACACAACACACAAACACACAGAAACACTCACACGTTTGTAGCTGCGTCAACACCATTGTATTCCTTTTGAATGTATACCCAAAGTATTTATATGTGCAAATCTAACCGACATATTTACATTTATTTTTCTACTCCCCAAAAATACCATGCTTAACCGTTCCACAGGCCACATGGAAACTATTTCAACCAGTCTTAGGCACCCTTTCCGCATACGAAAAGTCAAAGCCATACTAAACCGCAAACAATTTAAAAAGAAAAACCAAAACAAATAAAATTTCATATTAACCCTGAACTAAGCCAATCAGAGCCAACTGTTAAAACGAATTATTTCACCCTTAAGCCAATGCATAAAGCGGTTATTGTGATGTCAATAAATATAATTAGAAGCAATCCATTTATTTATTTATGTGGTCAAAATCAAAACATTTGCGCTGCTTTACCAAACAAATCTCCCCGCCCCGGGCTAAGTGTTATGTGTTCTGTGCACCTCCGATGTTCAAAGTTGTATACTACAGGTAATATGCATTTTAATGGCAAACTATATATACATATATACCATATAATATTTAATACTATATAATACGATACTTTATTTACTAGTATCTAATTCATTTTATATGTTCTATTTCACAGAATTTCTTACGCTCAGCAATGTTTTGAACATGACCTACTTTGACTCTTTAATTTGTTCACCCATTAGGCATATACATAATCCCTAAGCAAAAATAATTCAACCTACTCTATTTTGCAAGTTTTGAAGGTGTACAGTGAAGTCATATAATTGTGTATTAAAAACATAATTATAACAATATTAAATTAAATTCAGACAAAATGTATTATTCTGTTCGAATATTTATTAAATAACGAAAATAACAAATTTCTCAAATTTGTGACTTTTATTATCGGAAAAAAATGTAGAAATATGGTCTACTAGACTTTTATATTACAGTCAATTCTCTGCGAAGGAACGAATCCATTATTTAAAAAATCGAATGTGCGGTCTAATGTAAGCGATCGGCAAACAAGGGTTAAGAAAGCTGTCGCGAGATCTTAGGCAGTATAATAGAGTATAGAATCAAAAAAATCAAGAATATCCCACAAATAGCAACCGACCAGAACTAAAGTCCTACGAATGATGCTCATTTTATTTGAATAATTTGGAATCTCGCATCCCCAAAATGTGGACAAATGGCATACAAGGGTTAATACCCATCAGAAGCGGCAAAATATGCAGCCAATTCTAACAGTGGGTTAATCTTCGTATACATCAATACAAACACAAAAACATTTGTTAGTTTCGGTCACTTTATATCAGAAAATTTTGTTTTTATTTAACCTTAAAAAAAACGTCGACAAATAAATCAAGAGACCTCCACAGATATAGTAGCCGCTTAGAAACGCAGCTTCTGGAAGAACCACTTGTTCTTGCCCTCTTTGTACACCGACTCGAATTTGACGCGAGTCTGGAAACGATGCGTCTTGCGCTTAACGGGATCCTTTAGATCCTTGGGCGACAGTTTCTCGAAGCTGATGTCGTGCGCTGTGTAGCGTGTGGGCATCAGATGGTTGTAGTTCAGGCTCTTCAGGAAGGGCTTGATCTTGGACTTCTTCTTCAACTTGTTCTTGCCCATCTTCTTGGTCACCTTGCGTGGGTATCTGTCGATGCCGGCAACGAGCGCATGACCGAAGGGCTTCTCCGGCGTACCATCATCGGAGGTCTTCACAATGATGGCCTTACGGCCGGCGTAACGTCCACTAAGGACGATTACGATTTTGCCCTGTTTCATAATTTTCCTCATCTTGGCGGCTGTGCATGCAAACGAGTCGATTCCATTGTTGTTGTTGTTGTTGGCAGCGATGTAGACGTTAGCATCGAGAGAACATGCAAAGTAAATGTAAAATAAATACAAGGAATTAGCACAAAATCACTTTTATGTCGCTCATTGCACTTAAACAAATGTTGTCAACCAATTATTTGCACTAGCATGTAATTTTTTAACATTATTCAAGAAGAATATTTTGATTTGTTTGTCTATTTTCACAATTCTTTTGTGTGACCCAAATATGTTTGAGTTAGACAATATTTGTATACAGGCATAGTTTACACTATTATCATTTCATTTGCGCTTGAAATAATAAACGTTGTTTTGTTAATACACCAAATTTATACGATTTTATTTTAGGCATAGTTTTAACGCGAACTTACAGGTCTGTTCGCTGACCGGAAAAGAAAGAAAAGAGTGACAGCTACGTTGACAGTTGGCAGCACGCTTGGCGTTGCCACTTAGGGCTGTTTTATCGATTGCAAAGATCTGGCAGCGCTGAAAATACAGCGCTAGTGCAGTGCACGCACAACAGTTGCTAAACAGTTGAGCTGTTTAAAACAGTGCAATACCTTGTTATATATTTTTAATTATTTCAAATAGAAAGTTATATATGCAATATACAGTTCATTTTATTATTATTTTCAAAGTACTGTTTAGTAAGTTGAAGCAAATCCTTTATTATATTTATTGAAGTGAAAAACTCACTTAACCTCGATCATTTAAGAAGTGAGTTCTTCATTCTATTGCGAATATTACAAAAAATATTATGAGAAAAACAAAAACAAAAGATTTAGGTGTAATTAAAAGCTAAGGGCAAAAAATAACTTTATATAGTCCATGTCTGTTGAAACATGACTGCCTGTTCATATGCCATTGCGAAAGACCATTATGACGCTAACTTTATCCAAGCGATTTTTAATGTTGTAACGACTGCCTGTAAAACAGAATTTATTAAAAAAATATTTTATATGTTTGGGGTAGTTACTAGGCAAATGGTTACCCTTTCTAATTTCTATAGTATCTCCCGTGTACAATATATCTTGGTAGCTCTCCTTCGAGTCCGGGTTGATAATCTCAAACCCAAATTGGCCGTGAAGCGCCACAAAACGCTGTGGCAGAAAGACATAAAATTAAACTTTATTAAATTAATTATTTTATAAAAACGAACCAATGTGTTGGTCTTGGCGCGTTTCAAGCCGCGTTGTTGCAACGGCTGGAAGCGCATGTAGCCCATAGAGTAGAGATCATCGGTATGATAGAAGGCATACTCAATGCCGTCAATCTTCGAGAAGTGCAAGTTGGCTGCACGTGCTGCAATCAACAAATAATATTAACTATGAATTTTGATACATATATAGCTATATAGATTGGTAACCTACAGACGGTCATGGAATCGGTCTTGATTTCGCTAACTTCAGTGGTGTCTGGCAGCACATCCCTGTCGCCACATAGCCAGGCCATTAGGGTTTCCGATGATTGCTCGTTCGACTGATTGTGGAGCGGGGAAACTGGTGGCAAGTCAGGCGTTTGGTTCAAGTCCGGTATAGTGATCTCCTGTTCTTCCGTTTGAGCAACTGTATCGTTATCTTGCTTCTTCTTGCTACCTTTCTTGGCTTTAGTTGTTTCATTTGACTGCTTAGCGCTGTCCACGGCTGGCGTCCTTTTTTTGCGTCCCCTTCTTTTAGGCTCAGCTGGCTGCGCTACCGGCCCATCATCCGCCTCTTCTTGTTCGATTATGCCACTAAGACGGCTTATGCCTGAAATGGCATCCGCATCGGTTGATTCGCTGTTCTGATGCTGCAGTGGCGCTCGCTTGCGCTTGCCACTCGTACTGCTGTTTGGAGTAGCTGCTGCATTTCGCGGCGTGCTGCTGGACAACGGTGGTCTTTTCATCAAAGAATTGCCGCTAGCTGCAGCTGTTTGCTTCTTGGGCTTGCTGGCCGCTGTCTTTAATGGGGACTCAAACGTTTTGCGCATAAACCTAAAGGGATCGCTTATGGTGTGCACCCAAGTGTTGCACAGCTGCACCTGGCCGCGTCTGGAGCGACGCACTCCGGCTATGACAGAGAGCGAGTAGAAAATACATTAGTAATTGCTTTTATTCATAAAGTACTTGTGCTTACTTGTGTTGGCATCAGCTTCGTCTTCAGTCCCATCCGACGGCAGCGTCTCGTTGGCTAGATTAATGCGCAGATTACTTAGTTGTCGCTCCAGATTACTCTTTTGATTACGCTTGGCACGTGGCGCTGGCGCTGTTGGTTTCTTAAAGACATCGTCTGATAGCGGCGGTTGCTGTGCTTGTTGTTGCTCCTGAATGGCCGTTTCCTGTTGCACCTGCAGTTGCTCTTGTTGGTGAGTTTCCTGCTGCTGCTCTTTTTGCTGTTGCTCCTGCTGATGCTTCTCCTTTTTCTGCTGGTCCAGTAGAAGCTTCTCTTTCTGTTGCTCCTCCTTTTGTTGTTTCGCATGCTTCTTTTCCTGCTGCTGTTTCGACTGCTCCATTTCCTGTGGCAGCTTCTCCGCCTCCTTTCTTTCCTTCTGCCTTTCTGGCTGCTGGCTTTCCTCCTCCGAGTGCTGTATCTGCTTGAGCTGCCTCTCTTTCTCCTTCTGCTGCTTTTCCTGCCTAGAAGTATTCAGCCGCAGAGATTTTTGCGCGGCTCTGCTGGTGCTTGGCTGCTCACTTGTCATAGTCTCCTCCAGCGTTGACGGCTGAGTTGTGGGAGCTTGCTCTATCAACTTATCAATTTGTGAATTAAATTCTGCCGGCGGCATCAGTTGTAGCTGCTGCAGCTGCAACTCTTCCTCTGCATCTGTTACGGGCACATCATTGAAAGCCAAGGGTGGTGTTGCTAGTACGCGCTCAAGCAGCTGCTGCTGTTTCCGCTGCCTGGACTTGGATTTGCGAAACTGTGCGGGTGGCGTGCAGACCGTCTGCAGCTCATATTCCTCGCTCTATTTAGAGTGAAGATTGGTTATAAAATAATTTGTAATCATTTTGCTAAAGCAATTACCGTTGACAGTTCTCGATGCCTGGAGCGCAAACGTCGCAATGGCTGTTGCTGCCTTGTCGTCTTTTGATGATACAGCACCTGAATTGAGCTGTTCCTGAATTCGGCAGGTGGCGTCGCTGGCGAAATGGATGCCGCCTCAAATGTTTGCTAAAAAACAAAGAGTTATGAAATTGGGAAAAAAAATTTAGCCCAGTTGAAATATAAAATTCTTACCATAAGCGTTTCACGGCGCCTAAGGCGCGAGCGTCTCTGATGCTGCCTAGAGCTGTCCTGATGGGATTCCAGCATGGTGCTATCCCTAAAGCCCATAGGCGGTGGGGCCGGCGACGAAATAGAAGATGCAGCAGACAGAGATTCATTCTCGGATGCGGGTACAGTTGTTGCCGTTGTGTTCGTGCGTGGCGAGGGCCCAGCTTGCTCGTTCGGCTCTGCGAGATTACGTCGCAATATCTCCCATTCAATGTGCTGGTCCAACACCAGCTGCTGCTCTGTGGGCTGCTCTCGATGACCGTTCACTGGACGCTGCCTGCCCAAGGAGTTGCGTTTGCGTAAATCCATAATCTCATAATTGCTCATGCGCGCCAGCTCGATGGCAAACTGTTCGCCATTGATTGCTGGTTGGGAGGGTTTATTAAGTACCGTTTGGCGCTGCATATTTTTGCCACGCTGACGTGAGTTCCTGGTACATGAACGATGCAAGTCGAGCAGCTGCACAGAGCTCTCTACACGTTGCTCACGCTTGCGTAAATTACGTTGCCTGGTGGTTTTGTCACCGGCGGGTGCTAGATTTAAAGGCGCCCCACTTGCCTGTCGCTCGTCGGCGCTCTCGTCATCGGTCATAATGTCATCCTGCAAGGCAGGCGGACTGCGGGAGGTTTGCATGCTACGACTGGCCATTGTTGCAACCGGCGTTTCCACTTGAGCGGCTACATCCACATGCGCTGCAGCTGGCTTCGAGCTGAGCGTGAGCATTGTGGCCATGGGCATAACCACAAAAGGCGCCACCATCGCATTGCTGGACATATTTTGCAGCATGTGCTGCATCGGCTGAGACTGCGTTTCGGGCACAATGTATTCAGGTTCAGGCTGAGTGTGCGGTAACGTAATACGCGGTGGCGTATCCTGCGCTAATAACTCCAATTTAGCTGCTGACATTGCTGCCTGCTCTCTCGTACGTGCCATACGCACGCCCGTCTGTCTAAGCGAAGTATTATAAATAGAGTTCGAAGTGGACCGTTGCGTGCGTAAATTATAAGAACTGCTGCTACGCGAGGGCGACAACAGCAATTGACCCGGTTCAGGACCAACCTCTACAGTGTAGGTGCGTCCTTTGACAGCGCTTCTATCGGGCGTCGTGCAATGCTGCGATGCTAGCATCGTAGAGTGCTCGTCATTTTGTAATACTGCTGGAGCCACTGATGCTTCTCTTTGTGTTGGCTGTTCCGGCCCGGCTGGGGTTTGCTTTTCCGAAGCTGGCGTGCTGTTCACGGTGGGTAGCTGTCAAAGCACATTAATTAGCAGGCACATCTTTGAGTTACTCGAAAAGCTTACAAAATCTGAGTCGTTTGACGAGGCATTGTTGAATTCCTTTAGCAAGTCGCGACGTCCACAGCTGCGCGAGCGTCGATGTATGGCCACGCGACGCAATCGATCCGAGCCTGGCACATGAACGCCGCTGCGTCGAGAGGTGGATTTGCGTGGCGAGGTAATAGGAGACTTTGGCGCTGGCGGCGTAGGGGGTGCCGCATTTTCTGGGCGGTTTAAAACCAGTGAAGCTTCTGGTTGCGCTTTCGGCTCAGCTGCCGTAGGGGGTTGGTTGGTAATCTCGCGCAGGGGCTGCTCTTTGGCTGCTGCCGTCTCCTTTGCAGCTGCCGGTTGCGATTTTGGCGGCAATTTGACCAAATCCACATCAAAATCAAATGTGATGTCCAGGTCCCCAAGGACAAAAGGTGTGTTGCTCTGCGGCTTTGGTGCAGTCTTTTGCTTAAGGAAGGCGGCTAAGCGATCCGCATAGGTTTCGCTCTCGTTCAATATGTCCTCCAGCTCGCGCATTGTATTATCGCTAATTTTAGGCCTGCAAGCACATAAATATTATGTTTGTTTTCATTTTAAAGTAAATTTTCCTATTGCCCTTACATTTTGCAGGCCGTTTTTTATAAATTTGTTGCAGTTTGCTTTTTTTTACGTTTCAAACATTTTGTTTCAGCGATTACAACAAAATGATGCGCGCAGCAATAAAGTACCGTTGTCCAACACTGAAAACAGCCAGAGGCATTCAATTCTATGATTTGATACAGTGGCAGCCTTGTCGCTTTTGTAAAGCAGTAAATTGGGAATCTATATAAAATAGCATTAAAATTATATGGTAACACACAATTGGCTTAATATTCGCATACACACATACATATATCATCGAGGCATTAAATAGATTTTTCACATTGCTGTCGACGATCTGGCAGCACTAGGCTGTCGCGCGTTCACCATGTGTAACAGTTAAACAGCAGTTGAGTGTTTCAAATCAATGCAGCATTGATAACAAAATATATGATTTTATTAATTGCTAACTTGTTTACAAAAAGACTATATACTAATCATTGCGATGTGTATTCTATTACTATTCTCTCTGATAATAGTAAAAGAAATGCTCAGTTCTATTTCTTTTTTTGTATAATCTTAAAAGTATTGCGTCTATTAATGACATAGCTGAGCGCAGCTGCGACGGTTGTTACGCCTGTTAAATACCAAAGTCCATGCAACGCCGGATGATCTATGGAGTTAAATGTGAGAATAAAACTTCTAAGAACATTATTTTTATATGGCCTACCAATATAATTCCATATGGGCGCACCCAGACTAATGCCAATTGTGGCCAACTGCACGCCAGTGTTCACCTTGCTGATAAATGTAGGTTCTAATTGGGCGGTCACATGGGTGGCATCAAAATATCGTGAGAAGGTTTTCTGCAGAAGAAATAGACATAATTGAGTTTTAAAAATTAGTAGTAAATGCTTGAGAGCGGCTTACGGGGGGTGGGAGACTTATGTAACGTATGACGAAACCAGCGGCAATTAGGAACACATCCCGGAACACAACAACACCGGCCAGCCACATGGGAAGCAACTCGCTGTAACACAATGAAATGACCAAGGAGCCCATGAGTAGCTTATCAGCCATGGGATCCAGAAAGGAGCCGGCTTTACTCGCCTGCGAAGGCCAACGGCGCGCAATCTGACCATCAAGCTGGAGTGAGTATATAATAAATATAGTCTTATTGCAGCTAAAAAAAAAAACCCACCAGATCTGTAATACCAGCGACGACAAGCAGGCTCATGCCCATCGTAAAGTCGCCTTGGACAATAACATAGCCAATATAGGGCGAGAGTATGGCACGACTAATGGTCAGCATATTCGGTATGGTCATGATGTTCTCACGCTCCTCGCGTATCTCGACAATCTTCTCGCGCACTCGCTCCTGCACCTTGTGACGCGCCTCTCGTATATCATCGACCAGGAAGTTCTTGCGCTCTATAAACTCGGCACGCTGTTTATCGATGACACCTTGAAGCAAATCCCGTCCTTGCAGTGTGCGCAAATGCAGCGTCTGCTTCTTGGCATCGGCATAGAGCCGCAACCTAGCCACATCCCAATTGCGGCGCTGATTGATGTCCAGAAAGGAAATGCGTATAAAGCCGGTCGCAGCGGCATAGCGATTCAGGCAGTTGACAAAACTGCTGCCACCTACGCCGAGCACATGCTTCAGTGTTGTTGCGGCTCCATGGTGTAGACCACCGGCGCTGAGCGGACGATGCATTTGACGGAAGACAATGGCGGGCAGCATTTCGTTGGCTCGGCTAACAATTCCTCAAACTTAACGGAATTTAAATACTTTTTTACGCACTGCAAATACAAACAAATTCAAGTTAATTTTAGTAGTCGAGCGGCCTTGAACGGATGCTCCCCACTTGGACCAATCGGTAACAATATCATACCATTTGATGTCCGCGGACTGCCTAAATAATTGGGGGCAGTACAAACACAGCTTGTGTGTACGAGCCACGGGTCAAAAATTACATTAATTAAAATTTTAAACAATAATTTAATGAATCGAATGTTGTTTTTTATTACACAAGACGGACGCGAGGGGTTGCCACGTAATTTGCAAGTGCTGCCAGCTGGTCTTCGTATGCTAAGGTGGCAGCACTACGCAGACAACGTCGACTGACGCTTGGCGCGCACATTTCAAATTGTGGAAACTGAAGTATGAACTTTTAATCATAATAAGCTTTATTTTTCTTATTAAGGCTACTTTTGAAGTCCTTTTCTTTTAACAAAAAGCAGACGTTAAGGCCAGGCAAAGCAAATAAGACAGACATGCATATTTAAAGCGTTTTTTTCTTATTAATAAGCCCATTCAGCCGCAGAGGGCAAGAGGACCAGCCGCAAGTGAACTGTACTTGTCAGTCATTAAATTGGATTAAATTTAATTATGCGTTCACTTGCCAAAAGAGGCCACTGACAACCGCTTTGTATATGCAAATGAATTCGCGGTAAAAGTTTATTACTTTATATAAACATCAGCAGCTGCTCGACCATGGCCATGGCCTTATCCTTAGCTTTATCAACGCAGCCGCAGCTAATGAATTAAGTGAAAGTAGCGCAAGGAATCTTCGTAGCCATTAATGAGTGCCAATAAGGTTGAGGCTGAACAAACAGCTGCTCATTTATTAAAATGCTATCAAGCGTCGCTTTTAACCCTCAATGCATTTGGTGAAAAATGTATTCACACACACATACGCTTGTAAATATGCGTTTTTGAGTGTATTACAGAAAAGCAAATACAGCACATAAAAAATTAAAAATGCAACTGCACGCTTGTACATATGCTCAATTAAAAATCAGAGCGCGTCTCTGAAATGACATCCATTAAATATTAACACAATATGGCATCGCCCGGGGCGCTGCTTCCGCTGACGACACGCCTCGGGATGCCTTTTAAGTTCATAATTACGAGAAGGACAAGGCGACAAAAGTAGTATGCCAAAGAAATTGCAGGCCTTGAGGCCTTGCTGCAGATAGTTAAGTAGCTCTGTCCCTGTCCCTTTTTATCGCTCTCACCAACAGCATTACAAATAAAGTGCAACAGCAACAAAAGGAACAACAACAACAACAACAATGTCATGGCATCTCAGATATTATTTTGCACGGACAAAAGCATATTAATTTTTGACATCCTGTGATTCCTGCCACTGAGTAGCTGCATGCAATCAGCTATTATCAGCTAAAAGTGTGAGCAAAAGAGGACGTGCAACAGATAGAGCAACCGAAGCATACGAAATTTTCAATTAGGTTGGCAGCGTTTCGTTTAAAAATTCTTAAATTGTGGGTTAAAGTAAAATCGTAACAGTTGGAATAGTTATTAATACTATTGTTTGACATTTAAAAATTGATATATATATTCGCTTCACATAATTGATTTCTCTTTATACTTTATTTTATACCTATTTTCTAAAATACTCTATTTATAATTGTTATGAGTCCTCAAAGATATCTTTTTGTAGCAAATAATATATTCTATATTGCAAGCGTACAGTAAGTAGCATAGCATAATACAATATAGTAGGTTCAGCTTCTATCTTATATTTATATCGTTTACTGATCCTTTTAACATTTATCTAAGTGTATTACTCTGCCGGCACTAAAAGCATAGGTTTTGCAGCTTATTAACTTTATTATACATTTTTTTTTACATTTTTTGTCCGCATCATCGCGTTTCATTAATCAAAAGTAATTTGCCGGCTCTTCAGATGGAAAACGGCAGCCACCTGCCAGCCAAGATGGCGAAAATGTCAGCGGCAGTAAAAATGGCTGCCATTTTGCATGCCGAACGGAAATATGCTATGCGTGTGTGTGTGTGTGAGTGCTGCTAATTAACAGTTTTACATTAAGTGGCCATAAAGACAGAGACTGCTGACGCATTTTAGTCTATTTTAATGTGGCCACACAAATGGCAGGCGTGATCGACTTGGACAATGAGCAGGAGCAGCATTAAACATCGCCCATGGCTTATTGCCCATTGGCCATTGGCCATTAGCCTGGTTGTCTTTCTTTGTGTCTTAAATGATTTACGTACGTTTTAAAGACCGACCATAAAAGCCAACGCTCTCTCTCTCGCTCTCCCACACTTTTGTATTTAATTTAATTAAATACTTTACTTGCTTTTGGGCTCTGCTGAAATGGTTAATGTGGTCTCCGCTCTGCATGAATTGTGGCCAAGTTATTTGCTGAAAATTATTTGCGGTCATTTCAGGCTGCTGGGTCAAACGTAAACAGCAAAAATTGGTAAGTGGATCGAGAACTATTGGGCCTTCAGATTAATGTGGCCAAAAGTAAATCAAAATCTGCAGCAAATGCAGCTGGCTAAGGCTTTGCATGGAATGTGGTCAACAACTTTTTGGCCAACTATTTTCAGCAGGTGTTTTACGGCGTACGCCCACAAATCACAAACCAATGACGGCTAATTAGAGTGAAAAATAACAGCAGCACCACAAAAGTGTAACAATGACTTTTCCCACAAAGAATTCTCAACTATTTCAGGCTGCCATCCACTGCTCCTCATGCTCCTGCTACGAGCCGGGTATCCTGCTCGTTTTTGTTCGAACTTATCAAGCGCAAGTGGCGGCAAACTTTTGGCCCATGCTGATGTAGTGAGTACAGCTCCTTCTCTGGCCCTTCCCCCACACGCACACCACTTCGGCCATTTGGGTGTACAATTTAAAAGAAGATTAAACCACAGCTGCCTTGGTCGCCATGTGCGCTTCTGTGGCGCCTCCAATAGCAACATCAAACAAGACGCCATAGCCCCAAAAACTTTGCAGCCACACCAGGGACACGTAGCACCCACTAAAGCTGGCGGGACGCTGGCGATTTCTCTGGCGACACTTGTCGAAAGTTGCGCGTAATTACGACTATGTGCGAGATAGGGAAACAGAGAGAGAGAGAGAGAGAGAGTGTGGGAGAGAGTTACAGGGCGTTCGAGGGCGTGGCAGTCAGTCAAAGTGGCACCATGCTGCGGGCTTTGCTTTAGTTTATTTGAGCCTCATGCCCTACACCCAAGCAGGACTTTTGCTTTTGTTGGTGTCTATAAATTAATTTAGTCAAATACTTTAAAATCTTTTTAAATCTTGACTTACTAAACATATATATGAATACTTAACCTGGGGTTACATATTATTATTATGTACATTTTCCTAACTTATT